CATGTAAGGGCAGCAATGTGCAGAGTCAATGTGCTTTTGAACTTGCTGTCGTGTTTAAACTGTACAGCAGATTTAAGGCTGTTTCATACATCTTCTTCATTGGAATGCAATGCCAAGTACATTTGATGACATCGAGAAACATTCACAGCACATTATGCTGGAGTTGAAATGTAATTTACTTCAGCGAATTGCCAATACATGACATCAGTAATGTGCAGGCCTGCCCAGAGCAGATTGCAACCAACTATCAGTAAAGGGAACAGCTGGTATTCATGCAATGTATGTATGTAAATGGTTCAGAAATTAACAAATCCCAAATAATTTAATTGTTATCTGAATCAAATTGTTGTTCGTGTTTAAAGGTAGAGTAGATCATTTGCAGCTATCCAAAAAGTAACTGACAAAATTATTGTTAAAAGGCTTTTGGTTTTAATGGCACTAAACTCCTTGTGATATCATTCTTTCTGGCATGCTGTCATTTTGAAGGAAACAATGAAAGAAAGTTATTTCCAACGATGCATCAAGTTAGTTCACGTAGTTGGTTTGTAAATTCGGTGAATCCATGAATATGTGCGCGCAAGCGTTGACACAATGCACACGCACACTAGGTTGCTATTATACGTCAGTTCAGTGCATGACATCGCGTGGCTGCAATTGACTGAATGAGAATGTGTCCCTGAAGCTGAATTCGGACGCAATATAAAACATGACTCAGCAACTTTTGAATTGAACCTGAGATCCTAGAATATAATTTTGGAATATACTGCATTCACAGAGCTAAAACTTCATCGTGTTAGTTGTGAAGCACCCGTTTTTAGATTTTGAGCACTTTTGTTGCTTCAAACGAAAAAAAATGCACAAATGACAAATGATCTACCCTTCCTTTAAATGAGCAAGTTTGTTACTTTTTTTCAGTGTGAAAATATACATGTATTGGTACTTACATATGGATAACCCATAAATTATACAGAAAATCCCAAAGCTGTAAAGTGTAAAATACCTAAATCAACATCACAGCAACATTAGAAACAATTGTGAACATGTGCACGGGCATTGCAAAAAAGTGTGCGTAAAATGTGGCAAACACAGGGCTAGGATATTTCATGTTTTAGTGAAATTCATTTGACAGCCTTTTGATTCTGTTATGAACAAACCTTGACAAATCCCAAGCATGGAGCACAATACATACATACTCCTAAAAAGGCACAAACTGCAAGGTTATCGTTTTTGAGGCTTCAATATTTAATAGGGAGCAAACTCACCGCAAATCCAAAGTGTCTTGGGAGGTTTTGGATCTCAATCTTGAAGATCTCTGAGGTGAAGTGCTGTTGCGTCAGATAGTGATAAGGATCCGTTATGGCAGCGCCAGTCACCGGTACGTCAGAGGTGCTGGTGGAATGGTTATCTTGTGGGTCAAGACCTGATGCACAAATGAACAGATTAAACAATTGATATGGCTAGAGCTATATTGTCTAGGTCTCCACCCAAAACAATTACATGGAAACAATCTGACAATAGCTGTGTAATCTTTAAATGTTTTGCTCAAATAAGTCGGGGTATAACAGGGGCCAGGAATCACCTTAGATTGCACTACAGAGCATCTATAATCCAAAATTTCCCGCGCTCGCATAGTTCTCTGAGCAAATGTTCCAACAATGTGCCACCCATCTTAAAAAATCCTGGATCCGCGCATGATTATCATTATCGAGGGTTGAATGTTTAGGGAGTAAACTCACCCAAATCCAAAATGTCTTGGGAGGTTTAGGATCCCAACCTTGAAGATCTCTGAGGTGAAGTGCTGTTGTGTCAGATAGTGATAAGGATCTGTTATGGCAGCGCCAGTCACTGGTACGTCAGAGGTGCTGGTGGAATGGTTATCTTGTGGGTCAAGACCTGATGCACAAATGAACAGATTAAAAAAAATTGATATGGCTAAAGCTATATTTTCTTGGTCTTCACCCAAAACAATTACATGGGAACAATCTGACAATAGCCGTAGCCATAGCTCTAGAAGCCCGTTTCAGACACAGCCTAAGTAACAGATCAACAAAGTTGCAAGTTATGCATTAGGAGCATCTGATTCCAAATGTATACCAATCTTTGTGCATACATGTTGCACAATGTAGCCTTGGTCAAGGCGCTAGTTGTTATTCATCCGGCCGTAACGCGGTAAACGATATCTTCGCTAGCGCTATGCATGCAGTCATATGTCTATGCATGCAGTGCATTAAAAATACAGCGCGAACAGCGACCTTACGCGGCCACTATTTTTATGCAAATCAGTTGGACCCAATCTAGTGCCTTGGTTCAATCGTCCATGTGAGGTTTTGGGGGTGGTGCTCATTATGTTAATAGCCTTAGCTGACCTTAAATGTCGTTTTCTTATTGGTCTATCGTTGCGTGGAAACTTGCAGAGTGAAACGTGGCACCGTACATAATCCATACACGTACACGTTGTGTGTCTCTGCACACGGCACCAATGCACAAAAACTGTGGTCCCTGTCACGTCCGCAAAAGGCGAATGCCTGCAAATAATTTGATGACGTCCAGATTTACCAAGGTGTGATTGGACACTCCACATATTAGCCCCGCCTACACTTATCTGTATTCACATACGAGATCGTGCGCTAGAAATCCAGCGCAAAATAAAGAAAAACAGAAGCTTTTGCCGACGATTGAACCAAGGCGCTAGATTTGGTCCAACTGATTTGCATAGAAATGGTGGCCGCGTGAGGTCGCTGATCACGCTGTACTTAGCACCGCATGCATAGCGCTAGCGAGGATATCGTTTACCGCGCTACGGCCGGGATTAATAACAACTAGCGCCTTGACCAAGGCTATGCACAATGTGGTTAATTTTATTTGAAGACCAAATAAAGTGCTGTTGTTTTGTTCGAAGTTTCTTGAAAAACCCTTTAGCAAGGAGAAATGCATATATATAATATACGAGACCATTGTAGGCTTTAGATGTACAGTATGGGATTTAAGTCTGGTGGATCAAAGGTGTCTTCACAGCTACTAGCTGGAAAAAAATGTAGTTGATAGTTAAAGTCAGCATTTTGTACTCCACTTCTGTCCATAGAATGTGCAAGTTGACCTCAAAAACCTAGGTGATTTTACTAGGTTTATCCAGTCAAGGGCAAAGAATGGGTTCTGAATAAGAACCAAATCATTCCAATTTACAACACATTCAAAAAATATTGCAAGTTGATTACTATAGTAAATTGAAAAAAATGTTGACCTCCACTTCCGTTCATTGGGTGAATTCAAAGACGGGAGTCTGTGGCTAGACTAGTCAGTGTTTGGTACCAAGATGTTCACATGAAAAGTGAATGTGAACTGGCGAGACTTGCACGCTCTATAATTGTACATAATCTGTGTAGCACCACTAGTCTGTTGTATTACATTATGAGCTCCATGTCTGTATGATGTTTGAATGCAAAGCAACATTCTACAATTCTTTTCCATTTTTTAGATGGACTCAAGGGTACTTCGAATTTGGGTAATTGAAAAATCAATGCTGTAAAATATGAATGTCGTTGTAAAGTTAGCATCATACAAGATGTATCTTAATTTGCACAGTATCCGAGGAATTGCTGCTTTTTATATGTTCATTAAAGCTGCTATTTCCTTGTGTAATTTAAAACTCTAAACACAAATAATACAGAAATGTACTATCACCAAATCAGTGTTTGAGCTCTTATGTCTTTCTGATACCTTGTAATATTTGAAAAAAAAATTGCAGGGCAAACCATGTTTCTAAAAGTCACATACGTTTTATAGGACAAACAAATTTGCGTGTAAAAGCAAGATCAGTGATAAAATAAATAAAAGTGTACACTAGCAACATTTAAACAAAAAGTGATTTTCCTGAATTTTGTATTTAAAACCTAATTCTTGCTTGTACAAATGTAATTGTTGAACAATCCCTGGGTAAAAGAGCTTGTTGGTCAATGTTGAAAGTACAAACATATACCCTCAATATTCATGCCACAAAAGTAAGCCAACATATTGGTTAGCAAAGAGGATGACAAGGGTTTAAGTCTTTTGTGGCTTGTTTCTTTTATTTCAATAATTAATTCCTGACAGACATATTAGACAATGCACAATATGTACACCTGTCAATCTTTTTGTGTGTTGCATTCTGATTGGTTGGAATTGATTAGCATTAGCTACTAATCATGCTAATAGGCCACACCCCTCGACAGCCAATCCAATCAAACATGAAAGCTGATCTAAGTCTTTTGCAAAAAGGAAACTTCAGAGGGAACTTACATTTGTAGGCGCCAAGCCGGAAACGAACAGTGTAATCTGTCAATGAAAATAATAAGACATGAAACTGAAACGTTTGCACAATTTATCCAGGGCCAAGTTTCATGAAGACCCGACAAGAAATTAGGGGAATAACTGAGAAAAAAAAATTCCCGAAACTTTCTGTTGTGGTGTTCATAACAGGCACATTGTATGAAAATGTTATGTCCATTCCAGGCAATGTGCACTTTTAATTTAATGATGCAGTGCCTTGAACACCAATACCGGTGGATAGGTGTGCTCTATCTTTAAAAAAAAAAAAACAAGAAAAGAAACGCTTTGATGTCAAATTTGACTTTCATTTTTAGAGTGCCTAGGGTTACTCTTTGCTTCTCTCAGAACTAATTCATCTTCTTTGTAAAGTCATGTTGACAGGATTCAATGAGCAGCATTTTCCCCAACACATGATAATGCCATTGCCCATTTCTCCAGCGCCCTGGTCAAAACATGGTAGGGGTGGGGATAAATCCCCCACCCCCTGGTGTTCATGCCATGAGACCCAGTTTGCCAGTAAGTCCAGGGACAGTTGGTCTCAATCTACCCCTGAATGAGAGAGTTTCTATAAGCAGGGGGATGGGGTTCACATCCCACCAATGACACTTCAGAGTTGCCCAGAAATCATCCAATCCAAAGGATGCAGAACAAACATGAACAGATTGGATATGAATAAAAATGAATGTCAGTTTAACTTATCGATGCCATCTACACTCTTGCCCATGGTAAACTCACACTTGTTGCGTATAATACTGGCTGTGAGTGGGGACACAAAAATGAAAATTAAGGAACAAATGCAGCCTGACTTTTATTCAGTTCTCATGTGGTTGACTGTTTCCCACTCCTACATGTATCAGAATATACAATGACCAGGAACCGGTCTACTCAGCAGGCGGGTCTCATAGTGTGCAACTACAACCAAAAAGAACTTTTTTCAGAGGGTTGCATACAGATGACTAAACTGGCAAAACAAGTACAAGTACTTTTTCCCTTAAAAAAGACATAGCAGTTGCAAAATTCATCAGCAGAAGAAAACGTTGTTGAGGACAGGTAGCACCGACTTTTAAAAATAAAAATTGTCTTTTTGCTGTTATCTACCATACAAAGATCCGCATACATGAACAATGTGAATTCTACTTTCCATAATCAGTATTCATGAACAAATTTAAACCAACTGGTTGGTGATTTTTGTGATTAAAAAAAATAAATAAAAAAAATCAGATTTATTTGATTTAAATCAGATTTTTGAGTGGTCGGGCACAACCCGACCACTCTTTGGATTTGTTGCGATTAATCTTTCTTTTTTTTTCTTTCTGGGCAATACTTCTCCGTGGGTTTTCTCTTAAACAGTATATGGTATGAACTATGATTGGAGACTCGGACTTGGACTCGACGTTGGTGACCTGACTACAACATTGGTACTTGGTCACAGAGTCCACTGTACCTACCAGGTCATTCTGAGTTGACCACCCCAGGGTAGACAGGCAAAGGCCCCAAGAGGTGACGACATGAAGCTTGTCCCTCAGCTCAGGATGGGCCTTCATCTGTAAGGCTAGGGTGTTGGAGTCGATGCCTGTACCGTCTGCTGTCTTATCAAGGATCATCCGGATGGGAACCTGGGCAGGAAAAAAAAAATTACGAGATGTAAATTATCTTTTTTTATATTGGATTTTTGTTTGCCCTTCGCCGACATATTTTGTAAACACTGCACACTTAGTGTTGTTCAAAGGTTTAGGTGGGACTCAAACTAATGACCTCCTACACAAACAAAGTTGGGTTACGTGCTTCTACATCAGACTCCAAACCGCCAGCTGGCCACAGCAAGCTCAGTGGTCAAGTGGTTAATGCATCTGCACTAAGAAGCAAAAGATTGTAGGTTCGTGTCCAACTTGAAGTAAGTTTGTGTTTTTTTTCTTGCAAGCCCTCAGACAACACTCGAGTGTGCAGTGTTTGTAAAATACTTCAGCAAAGGTCAACAAAAAAATTACATATATGAAAAAGAATATCAATAATTATATGGATGAAATCCAAAACCAATTGTACTAAAGTTGATTCCTACTTTCTGTTTCATATTTTCAAATTTCACAATCATTCACATAGAATTGAGATGTGGACCAATGCAAATGAGTCTTCACAGATGTTTGTCTTACCCGACTGGAAAATTTTACCAAAGAAACTGACCTTGGTCTCTCCTATCTTTTTGAGTTCGCGATGGGTAATCCCGAATCCGTTCAGTGAATGGGCGTCATTGTAGGCCCAAACAGATCCACGTAGGTCCTCAAACACTTTCCATGTACATCTATGACTGAAATAAAATCAATACAATTATGATTAGCATTGAAACATTTACATAGTATCAGGTGCGGGGGGGGGGGGGGGGGGGATGTCAGGGGAAGAAATAGGGTTGGGGATTACATTCCCCGCCCCAATAAAAAATAGACAAGCACACTTTCCCCTTCCCAATTGTCACATTTGTGGAAGACAGTGTTCTCGTGAAGGTTTGCAGTTTGCATTGTGGTACCACAAACCTGTACTAAATCATGTCACCACGTAGTTAGACCAAGTAGTTAGCCCTTGCAAATTGTCTTGCAAAGAAATTGTTACATCAACAAAACTGAGAATATGACAACATCAACTTGATTGTCAGGCAAGGCAGAGACTGATTTCAAATGACAACAACCCCAGAAAGTGAAAAAAAAATATCTTAGGAGATGACAACCAACATTTGCCCAGGGAAGAAAAAAAAAGCAACAGATGAACAGAAATCAAATTGTGATTTGTAAATAAAAACTTCCATTTGACTTCATTCCTTATCAGATCAAATTGAATATCAAACAGAAAGAAGTACAGAATTGTTGTATGGGTATATAAATCAACATCCAAGGGAAGAACACAATTCATTTTGGAGGAAAAAGACAGCATGGATTGAAAGAAAAGAAAATCTCCTCTTTTTTGCTGTTGTCTACATCTATACACCTTTGTACAAAGTAAAATTAGTGCTTAAAGATGTTTTGAGTGAATGCTACTTTCCGTCGTCAGTAACATGACCAAATTGAAACCAACTACCAACTACCTGCTCCTCCGTCCAATCACATCCATATACTGTCATTATCCCCAAAGCCATTTTCAGGATGTATTCATCAAGTTTATTCCCACGTGACCAGTTGAACCAACTACAGGATGAGTCAAAAAGAAAGTGACCGAATTTGAAAAAAATGTTTAAAATATTTGGCTCGTTCTATGTTAATAAAAAAAAAAAACAAGGATAAAGTACATGTACATCAATATTGACTTTTAACTGTGAACATTTCACTTAAATTGCATACTCTATTCCCAATTCATGTCTATTTCTATAAAATGATCACAAAACTTGGCTGTCCACCACTTATCGATTACCGTGCTGCGAACTGATAATACATGTACCCATTGAGGACAATGAAACATCCATCGTTTTCCCACCTCCATGAATGAACGAGAACTTGCAAAGGAAAAGATACAAAAATCACCTTCGATATTTCGAAGACAAAAGAGAGTTGACTTGTTTCTCATATTCAAAACACACAACCTGATAGTAACAATTGTCTTGATTTCAATCATTACAATTTCATTTGTACTTGAATACTTGTGTGTAATCTGTAATTCTCACTAAGCTCATTTAACCTTCAATATTATCGCATTCCTTGCACAGCTACACAAATGGGTTCTTTTTGGTAAAAACATGCATAACTTTGGATGGCATGATCAACGATAAGGAAAATGGTGGCTCAGACCAATTCAGAGACGCTCTTTCTTATACCCGTAAATATGTATGGGTTTGGGTGTTTTCGTCTTAGTGTTTATTTCCACTGAGTCAGGTTTGACAGGATTGGGTTGGGAAATTAAACATATGTTTTCGGGGCACCAATATAGTGGGTTTATCCTTTGGTGTGAAGGATTGTTATGGACATTAGGAAAATATTTCATTTCCTTTGGGGCGAGCAAATATACCCGTACATATTTACGGGTATTGTCAGTCTATAACAAAGAGCATCTCTGAATGGGTCTGAGCCACCATTTTCTTTATCCAGTGATTGGGTTTTTCCAGATGAGTGGAAGAACATGCTCCTTTTAATAAGACATACTTCTTTGGTGTATCTAATTTGATTGCTTTTTAAGAAAAAAAAACCTTGAGTGCAGGTCACTTTCTTTTTAACTCACCCTGTATAAACACAATGTGAACATGCATCTCTCACACACTAAACTTAATTGTCTTCATTTTCTATCATCCTCTTTTTTTCTGTCTTTTCTTCTTGTATGGTAGCCCTCACATTGAGTGGCATTTATGCCTTGTGAAGGGATGACTTCCATTAAAAAAACAATTACATGTACACAATATGCATGTTTAATCTAGAACAAATAATTAAAACTGAAACAAATTCAATTCTCAGATTTCATGTCAGTGCAAGTAGTGAAACTGACTTACATGCATCTGCTTTGGTTACAGGAACTGATACCACAAGATAGTCACATGCATTAAAATCTGACAGAAATGTTGGGGGGAAAAAGAGAGAAAAGAACAAGAAACTTTCTGTTTCAATTACACTTTGCTCAAGGTCTTACAATCCCTGTGAGTATAAATCTGGAGTGATCTTGAAATAGAGAAGAACATTCTTTGCTGCTTCTGAATAAAATGTAGCTCATCAAAGCTCAATGCTACATTGTGCATGAACTATGGGTGATGGCTACCAAAACAGCTCCACTCCATCAACTGGGTGGAAAACTGAAGTTGAAAAGCATCATGAGAACTTTGACATGAGTCTAGAAAGATCTGAACAATCAAGATGGTTAAGTGGTGAAATCATTGCACCAATCGGCCTCTGCTTCAACTTTGTCTTTCTCTTCACAGTCATTCGAGTGAAGTCCATGCGTACAATCATCAACATCTACTTATCCAATCTGGCTGTGGCTGACTCCCTCTACCTTATGACTTACTTCATATTTGCACTGTTTTCACCTATAGAGTACAACTTATTGGTCATAAAGGCAATAACAAGTGTCCGATACACGTTCCTCGCAACTTCTAATTTCTTTGTGGTTACCATAGCAGCTGAGAGATTCTCTGCAGTGCGCAATCCTCTGACATTCAAGGACAAAGCCTCTAAATCTCGAGCAGTAAAGATAGCAGCAGGACTCTGGGTGCCAACAATTATTGTTAGTGTGATTCTGATTTTCTTACCATTAAGATACGCTGTCTTCACTAAAGTTCACTTTGGGATTCTTTCCATTATCCTCATTGCCTCTTTGATAGCAACTCTTGCTTTGTACATCTATGTAGTACTGAAAGTACGCAAGCAATCAGCCCTGTTGCCGAACCGTCCCAAGCGAGCAGGCAAGGTCCTGTGCATGGTTACCATCAACACTGCTGTTTTCTTCATTCTGAACTCACTGAACACTGCAGCTGTAATTATGACAATTCATGTATTTGTAGTGGCATCAAAGAATACTTCAACTGCTCAGATTGTTGCCAATCTGGAACTTGGAGAGACAATAAATATTCTGACTACATGCATTGCAATTTTGCAACTGATCAATAGCTCAATTAATTCCCTGGTCTACAGTGCAACAAACGTTGACTATCGTGAAGCTGTAGTCAAGGCTTTCTCATTCCTCAAACTGTGCTGTCGTTGTTGCCCAAGACGGAATCCCAGCCGACCATCGCAGCCAGGGAAGCAGATTGAGCTTCGTGTGATTCCACAGGCAGAAAATGACGAAGAGCACCATGCTGCCAGGCCAAGCAGCAGCAAGCCACCAGGCCAAGGGCATGCACAACACACAGAGAGTCAGCAGTCACTGGACAGCTGTCAAGAACAATGTTCCAGGCCAAGCAGCAGCAAGGCATCCATGCACAGTCAGCAGCATGTTCGAGTGCATGTTCAGGTACATGCAGAACCAGCAGTGACCCCAGCGATTGTAAGTTCCTATCAGGAACAATGCTCTAGTCTGACTGACTGCAAGCCATCCATGCAAGGGGAACAGTGTGAACATCCAGAACCAGCAGAGAGCCAGCAGTCACTTGCAAGTACTCAGAAACAATGTCCTCGGCTGACTGGCACTGAGCCATCGGCACAAGGGCAGCAGTATGCACATCCAGAACCAGAAGGGAGTCAATCTTTGGAAAGTTGTCAAGAACAATATTCTCTGGTACCTGATGAGTGCAAGCCATCCACGTAAGGGCAGCAATGTGCAGAGTCAATGTGCTTTTGAACTTGCTGTCGTGTTTAAACTGTAGAGCAGATTTAAGGCTGTTTCATACATCTTCTTCATTGGAATGCCAAGTAGATTTGACATCAAGAAACATTAACAGCACATTATGCTGGAGTTGAAATGTGTTTTACTTCAGCGAATTGCCAATACATGTACGCACCATGACATCAGTAATGTGCAGGCCCGCCCAGAGCAGATTGCACCAACTATCAGTAAAGGGAACAGCTGGTACTCATGCAATGTATGTATGTAAATGGTTCAGAAATTAACAAATCCCAAATAGTTTAATTGTTATCTGAATCAAATTTGTGTTCGTGTTTAAAGGTAGAGAAGATCATTTGCAGCTATCTGAAAAGTAACTGACAAAACTATTGTTAAAAGGCTTTTGGTTTTCATGGCACTAAACTCCTTGTGATATCATATTTTCTGGCATGCTGTCATTTTGAAGGAAACAATGAAAGAAAGCTATTTCCAACGATGCATCAAGTTAGTTCACGTAGTTGGTTTGTAAATTCGGTGAATCCATTGACACCATGCACACGCACACTAGGTTGCTATTATACGTCAGTTCAGTGCATGACATCGCGTGGCTGCAATTGACTGAATGAGAATGTGTCCCTGAAGCTGAATTCGGACGCAATATAAAACATGACTCAGCAAGTTTTGAATTGAACCTGAGATCATTGAATATAGTTTTGGAATATACTGCATTCACAGAGCTTAAACTTCATTGTGTTAGTTGTTAAGCACCCGTTTTTAGATTTTGAGCACTTTTGTTGCTGCAAATGAAAAAAAAATGCACAAATGACAAATGATCTACCCTTCCTTTAAATGAGCAAGTCTGTTACTTTTTTCAGTGTGAAAATATACATGTATTGGTACTAAGTTAAGGAGAATACACGAGAAAGTGTGGATTCGTAATTTAAGAATTCACGAGGCGCGAAGCGCCAAGTGAATTCGTAAATTAAGAATCCACACTTGCGAGTGTATTCTTCGACTTAAACCATTGCGTCAACAGAAGTATTGGAAAGAATGCTGCAACCTGACGCCACTTTTTTCTTCATATGTCAGTGTTTCAGTGTGAAAATATACAAGTAATGGTACTAACATATGGATAACCCTGACATTTTTCACTGTAACAAATTTTTTTTTAAAGTGCCTTTGAAACAGATTTTAAGGTTTTTATTTTAGGAAATGCACCTCTATGTTCCAAGTCTTTGGATGTTTAAGGCTTTTACATATTTTCATGATGGTGCCAAGGTGCATATTCATGAGAAATACAGTGATGTCATGAGCTGGAACTTCAGTGTCACTGCTGTTTGAGGGGAAAATAATGTTAACAAAAGTGTTTTGATCAAGTTTGATGTGACTGTTGCGTTCATTAGCACATAGCATGCAGCCAATGAAATACTTAAATGTACAAACTTTTACACATGAACAATGCAATCAATTTTAGGTTCATTTAGGTGCATTGTGGTCAAACAAACACAAGGGGTAGGATTTTTTCATGTTTTAGTGAAATTCATTTTACAGCCTTTTGATTCTGTTATTAACAGACCTTGACAAATCCCAAGCATGGAGCACAATATATACATACTCCTAAAAAGGCACAAACTGTATGGTTATTGTTATTGAGGGTTCAATATTTAGGGAGCAAACTCACTGCAAATCCAAAATGTCTTGGGAGGTTTTGGATCTCAATCTTGTAGATCTCTGAGGTGAAGTGCTGTTGCGTCAGATAGTGATAAGGATCTGTTTTGGCAGCGCCAGTCACCGGTACGTCAGAGGTGCTGGTGGAATGGTTATCTTGTGGGTCAAGACCTGATGCACTAATGAAGAGATTAAAAAAAAGTGATATGGCTAGAGCTATATTGTCTAGGTCTCCACCCAAAACAATTACATGGGAACAATCTGACAATTGCCGTAGCCATAGCTCTAGAAGCCCGTTTCAGACACAGCCTAAGTAACAGATCAACAAAGTTGCAAGTTATGCATTAAGAGCATCTGATTCCAAATGTATACCAATCTTTGTGCATACATGTTGCACAATGTGGATAATTATATTTGAAGACCAAATAAAGTGCTGTTTTTTGTTCGAAGTTTCTTGAAAAATCCTTTAGCAAGGAGACATGCATTGTATAGACTTTTTTGCTGCAGAGCAAAATATATGTATAATATACGAGACCATTGTAGGCTTAAGATGTACAGTATGGGATTTAAGTCTGGTGGATGAAAGGTGTCTACACAGCTACTAGCTGGAAACAATGTAGTTGATAGTTATATTTGTTGATAGTTGATAATTTGTACTCCACTTCTGCCAATAGAGCGTGCACGTTGACCTAAAAAACCTAGGTGATTTTACTAGGTTCATCCAGTCAAGGGCAAAGAATGGGTTCTGAACAAGAAAAAAATCATTCCAATTTACAACACATTCAAAAAAAAATTGCAAGTTGATTACTATAGTAAATTGGAGAAATGTTGACCTCCACTTCCGTTCATTGGGTGAATTGGGAGAATTCAAAGACGGGAGTCTGTGGCTAGACTAGTCAGTGTTTGGTACCAAGATGTTCACATGAAAAGTGAATGTGAACTGGTGAGACTTGCATGCTCTATAATTGTACATAATCTGTGTAGCACCACTAGTCTATTGTATTACATTATGAGCTCCATGTCTGTATGATGTTTAAATGCAAAGCAATATTCTAATATTTCTCTTAGATGGACTCAAGGGTACTTCAAATTTGGGTAATTGAAAAATCAATGCTGTAAGATATGAATGTCGTTGTAAAGTTAGCATCATACAAGGTGTATCTTAATTTGCACAGTATCCGAGGAATTGCTGCTTTTTATGTGTTCATTAAAGCTGCTATTTCCTTGTGTAATTTAAAACTCTAAACACAAATAATACAGAAAAGTACTATCACCAAATTGGTGTTTGAGCTCTTACGTCTTTCTGATACCTAGTAACATTTGAAGAAAAAAAAAATGCAGGGCAAACCATGTTTCTAAAAGTCACATACTTTTTACAGGACAAACACATTTGCATGTAAAAGCAAGATCAGTGATAAAATAAATAAAATTGTACACTAGCAACATTTAAACAAACAGTGATTTTCCTGAATTTTGTATTTAAAACCTAATTCTTGCTTGTACAAATGTAATTGTTGAAAAATCCCTATTGAGTAAAAAAGCTTGCTAGTCAATGTTGAAAGTACAAACATATACCTTCAATATTCATGCCACAAAAGTAAGCCAACATATTGGTTAGCAAAGGGGATGACAAGGGTTTAAGTCTTTTGTGGCTTGTTTCTTTCTTTTCAAAAATTAATTCCCGACAGACATATTAGACAATGCACAATATGTACACCTGTCAATCTTTCTGTGTGTTGCATTCTGATTGGTTGGAATTGATCAGCATTAGCTACTAATAGGCCATGCCCCTTGACAGCCGATCCAATCAAACATGAAAGCTGATCTACGTTTTTTGCAAAAAGGAAACTTCAGAGGAAATACTTACCTTTGTAAGCGCCAAGCCGGAAACCAACAGTGTTATCTGTCAATGAAAATAAGAAGACATGAAACTGAAACGTTTGCACAATTTATCCAGGGCCAAGTTTCATGAAGACCTGACAAGAATTTAGGGGAATAACTGAGAAAAAAAATTCCTGAAACTTTCGGTTGAGGTGTTCATAACAGGCACATCGTATGAAATGTTATGTCCATTCCAGGCAAGGTGCACTTTTAACTTAATGATGCTCTATCGAAAACAAGAAAAGAAACGCTTTGATGTTAAACTTTACTTTCATTTAAGAGTGCCTAGGGTTACTCTTTGCTTCCCTCAGAACAACTTCAACTTCTTTGTAAAGTCATGTTGACAGGATTCAACAAGCAGCATTTTTCCCTAACACATGATGATGCCATTGCCCATCTCCCCACCTCTGGTCAAAACATGGGAGGGGTGGGGATAGATCCCCCACCCTCTGGTGTTTATGCCAAGAGACCAAGTTTGCCAGTAAGTCCAGGGACAGTTGGTCTCAATCTACCCCTGCATGAGAGAGTTTCTATATAAAGCAGAGGGTTGGGGTTCACATCCCACCAACGACACTTCAGAGTTGCCCAGAAATCATCCAATCCAAAGGATGCAGAACAAACATGAAAAGTTGGATATAAATAAAAATGAATGTCAGTTTAACTTATCGATGCCATCTACACTCTTGCCATGGTAAACTCACACTTGTTGCGTATAATACTGGCTGTGAGTGGGGACACAACAATGAAAATTAAGGAACAAATGCAGCCTGACTTTTATTCAGTTCTCATGTGGTTGACTGTTTCCCACCCCTATCAGAATATACAATGACCAGGAACCAGTTTATTAACCAATGGGTCTCATAGTGTGCAAATACAACCAAAAGAACTTTTTTTTCAGAGGGTTGCATACAGATGAATAAACTGGCAAAACAAGTACAAGTACTTTTTCCCTTAAAATAAAACATAGCACTTGAAAAATTCATCAGCAGAAGAAAACATTGCTGAGGACAGGTAGCACCGACTTTTAAAAATGAAAATTGTCTTTTTGTTGTTATCTACCATACAAAGATCCGCATACATGAACAATGTGAATTCTACTTTCCATAATCAGTAACATGAACAAATTTAAACCAACTGGTTGGTGATTTTTGTGATTTAAAAAAAAAAAAAAAAAAAAATCAGATTTTTGAGTGGTCGGGCACAACCCGACCACTCTTTGGATTTGTTGCGATTAATCTTTTTTTTTTTTTTCTGGGCAATACTTCTCCGTGGGTTTTCTCTTAAACAGTATATGGTATGAACTATGATTGGAGACTCGGACTTGGACTCGATGTTGGTGACCTGACTACAACACTGGTACTTGGTCACAGAGTCCACTGTACCTACCAGGTCATTCTGAGTTGACCACCCCAGGGTAGACAGGCAAAGGCTCCCATGAGGTGACGACATGAAGCTTGTCCCTCAGCTCAGGATGGGCCTTCATCTGTAAGGCTAGGGTGTTGGAGTCAATGCCTGTACCGTCTGCTGTCTTATCATGGATCATCTGGATGGGAACCTGGGCAGGAAAAAAAAAATTACGAGATGCAAATTATCTTTTTTTATATTGGATTTTTGTTTGCCCTTCGCCGACATATTTTGTTAACACTGTACACTTAGTGTTGTCCGAAGGCTTAGGTGGGACTCAAACTAATGACCTCCTACACAAACAAAGTTGGGTTACGCCCTGCTACATCAGACTCCAAACCGCCAGCTTGCCACAGCAAGCTCAGTGGTCGAGTGGTTAATGCGTCTGCACTAGGAAGCAGAAGATGGTGGGTTTGTGTCCAACCTGAAGAAAGATTGTGTTTTTGTTCCTTGCAAGCCCTCTGACTACACTCGAGTGTACAGTGTTTGTAAAATACTTCGGCCAAGGCAACAAAAAGTACATAAATAAACAAGTCAGGTGTGTTTACAAACACAAATGCCCCGCAACCGTGACTGTTCCCATGACATAACACCACTCTTTTAACATCAACTTACATGTACCTTGGTCACATGGAACATTCATTGACAGCATTAGTGTCTTCTGTAGGTTTTATATGAATTAATCCCTAATCCCTATAATCTCAGAATAAATACAAGATTTCTATTGTTTTAGCCACTGTGAACTTGACCCTTGACCTTTTGGCCCCAAATTCAATACGCTTCTTAGGATTACCAAGAACAATCCACAAACCAAATTTGAAGTTCACATGTAAAGTATTTCTCAAGTTATCGCGCTGACAAGATTTCTATTGTTTTAGCCACTGTGAACTTGACACTTGACCTTTTGACCCCAAATGCAATAGGCTTCTTAGGATTGCCAAGAACAATCCACAAACCAAATTTGAAGTTCACATGTAAAGTATTTCTCAAGTTATTGCGCTGACAAGATTTCTATTGTTTTAGCCACTGTGAACTTGACCTTTGGCCTTTTGGCCCCAAATGCAAAAGGCTTCTTAGGATTGCCAAAAACAATCCACAAACCAAATTTGAAGTTCACATGTAAAGTATTTCTCAAGTTATCGCGCTGACAAGATTTCTATTGTTTTAGCCACTGTGAACTTGACCTTTGGCCTTTTGGCCCCAAATGCGAAAGGCTTCTTAGGATTACCAAGAACAATCCACAAACCAAATTTGAAGTTCATATGTTAAGTATTTCTCAAGTTATCGCGCTGACAAGATTTGTCCGGACACACACACCCACCCACCCACACACACACACCCACACATATACTTGTTTCACATGACTAGTGTGGACTTTCCATTGCTTTCGTGTAGTTAAGAAAAACCAGTGAAAAAACTCATTTTTCTCAAACTGTGAAAACTCTTTCAACCCCATTTTTTTTCTATGATTCCCTTTAGTGTTTCTCTTCATTCTGCTACAAATAAACCTAACCCAAAAATGCCTCTAAACCTGTTTTCCAGAAATGGGGAAACACTGTGTGGACGTGGGGCAAGTCCACACAACGTCGGTGCTACCTACATTATGTGGACGTCTTTTGTTCGGAAGTCCACACTGCGTATGTAAGACAAGCTCACACCCACCCACCCACCCACCCACGGAAGGACAAGGCGGAAACAGTATGCCCCTTCGGCTTCGCCGCGGGGCATAAAAAGAATAGCAATAAATAAATGGATGAAAACCAATTGTACTGAAATTGATTCCTACTTTCTGATTCACAATTTCAAATTTCACAATTATCCACATAGAATTGAGATGCGGACCAATGCAAATGAGTCTTCACAGATGTTTGTCTTACCTGACTGGATAATTTTACAAAAGAAACTGGCCTTGGTCTCTCCTATCTTTTTGAGTTCTCCATGGGTAATCCCGAATCCGCTCAGTGAATGGGTGTTGTTGTAGGCCCAAACAGATCCACGTAGGTCATCAAACACTTAAAGGGAAAATACAACATTTGCAAACATCAAAAAATAAAACTACCAAATCATTTTGAAATACCTTGCTGGACTGTTAGTGAATGACAGTGTAAAGCATCCTGTAAAATCATGGCACCTGGTAGGCTACTGTCATTTTCAAGAAAAGTGGTATTTTTGTATCAATTTCCAACGCTGATCGGCCGATCAGCGTTGGAAAAAACTGACTTTTTTTTTCAAATACTGGCCCCAGTTGACCATCGCACTTGTTTGCAATCGATTACACACCTATGAACGGGAACAAGCCAGCTAGACTGGTTCCCTGACCTTACAATTCCCCAATATTTGTAAACTGCTCTGTTTCTTCTTAAATGGAGTCAGGGAACCAGACTACAGGAAAATGATTGTTTTTCTTGGTTTTTATAGCATTTTCGAACCCAAAACCTCAAAAAAGTCAGTGTAACTATATTTGCTATATATTTCCAACCCCCCAATTCCATCCATTTCTGAAAATCACAGCAAAAGCAAATGATGTATATTCCCTTTAATATCTATCACTGAAATATCATCAATACAATTATGATTAGCATTGGAACAATTACATAGTATCAGGTGTGGGGGTGGGGGGGGGGGGGGAGAGGAGGGGGGATGTCAGGGGAAGAAAGGGGGTTGGGGATTACATCCCCCCTAAAAAAAATTGACAAGCACACTTTCCCCTTCCCAATTGTCACATTTGTGGAAGACAGTGTTCTAGTGAAGATTTGCAGTTTGTAGTAACACCATGTAGCAGGCCCGCTGGAACAAATTTTTGACAGGGGGTGCTGAAATTTGTTTAAGACAATCGGCAAGCGCGAAGCGCGAAGCACAAAGCCATTTTGGCGTGGGGTTCAGGGCCCGCTTAAGGGCCCCGAAAGCTCTGAGGTCCTAGATTCTCTGTGGTGTCATCTCAGCCACTTTTTGACTCTATTACAGCTTTTGTTTTGGGGTGGAAGGTGAAAGTTTACACCAGAATGAACCATGTATATTTAAAACAAAAACAAAAAACAAAACAAAACAAGTCAGGTGTGTTTACAAACACAAATGCCCCGCAACCGTGACTGTTCCCATGACATAACACCACTCTTTTAACATCAACTTACATGTACCTTGGTCACATGGAACATTCATTGACAGCATTAGTGTCTTCTGTAGGTTTTATATGAATTAATACCTAATCCCTATAATCTCAGAATAAATACAAGATTTCTATTGTTTTAGCCACTGTGAACTTGACCCTTGACCTTTTGGCCCCAAATTCAATAGGCTTCTTAGGATTACCAAGAACAATCCGCAAACCAAATTTGAAGTTCATATGTTAAGTATTTCTCAAGTTATCGCGCTGACAAGACTTCTATTGTTTTAGCCACTGTGAACTTGACACTTGACCTTTTGGCCCCAAATACAATAGGCTTCTTAGGATTGCCAAGAACAATCCACAAACCAAATTTGAAGTTCACATGTAAAGTATTTCTCAAGTTATTGCGCTGACAAGATTTCTATTGTTTTAGCCACTGTGAACTTGACCTTTGGCCTTTTGGCCCCAAATGCAAAAGGCTTCTTAGGATTGCCAAAAACAATCCACAAACCAAATTTGAAGTTCACATGTCAAGTATTTCTCAAGTTATCGCGCTGACAAGATTTCTATTGTTTTAGCCACTGTGAACTTGACCTTTGGCCTTTTGGCCCCAAATGCGAAAGGCTTCTTAGGATTGCCAAAAACAATCCACAAACCAAATTTGAAGTTCACATGTAAAGTATTTCTCAAGTTATCGCGCTGACAAGATTTCTATTGTTTTAGCCACTGTGAACTTGACCTGTGGCCTTTTGGCCCCAAATGCGAAAGGCTTCTTAGGATTACCAAGAACAATCCACAAACCAAATTTGAAGTTCATATGTTAAGTATTTCTCAAGTTATCGCGCTGACAAGATTTGTCCGGACACACACACCCACACACCCACCCACCCACACACACACCCACACACCCACCCACCCACCCACCCACGGAAGGACAAGGCGGAAACAGTATGCCCCTTCGGCTTCGCCGCGGGGCATAACAATAATAATCATTGTTTCCGTAATGCTGTTTTTGCCGATATTTTATTAACTGACCTAATGCGTCGGGCTCCAAAACTGTAGCAAGTGCTGTTGAAATAAATGATTTAGACAAGGGCATCAAGCGCTTCGCAAAAGTGGGGGAGGTGGACATACCTCGATCAGAACATGGAATAAAAACTAATGCGAGCACGAAGCGACAAGTCCTAACGGTGTGGGGTTCGGGGCCCGCTTAACGGTTGGTTAAAATGACTGAACTCTAAGCAGAAGGTTCTGGGTTAACATCCAGACCAAGTAGTTAGCTCTTGGAGTCCTACATTATGTACGCTACTGATTATCAGCACCACTCCATGTACATGGATATCTGCAGCAATCTGCTGTTCAACAAGATTCCAATCAGCCAGCTGACTCCAGCAAGCTTGGTGGTGGAGTTGGTTAAGATGCCTGCAGTCTAAGCTGAAGGTTCGTGGTTCACATCCAGACCACATAGTAAGCTCTTGGAGTCCTACATTATGTACGCTACTGATTATCAGCACCACTCCATGTACATGGATATCTGCAGCAATTTGCTGTTCAACAAGATTCCAATCAGCCAGCTGACTCCAGCAAGCTTGGTGGTGGAGTTGGTTAAGATGCCTGCACTCTAAGCAGAAGGTTCTGGGTTCACATTCAGATCAAGTAGTTAGCCCTTGCAAATTGTCTTGCAAAGATGTTCCATCAACAAACTGAGAATATGACAACGTCAACTTGATTGTCAGGCAAGGCAGAGACTGATTGCAAATGACAACCATCCCAGAAAGTGAGAAAAAAATTTTATCAGATGACAACCAACATTCGCCCAGAAAAAAAAAAGCAACAGATGAACAGAAATCAAATTGTAATTTGTGCATACAAACTTCTATTTAACTTAATTCCTTATAAGATCAAATTGAATATCAAACAGAAGGGAAGTACAGAATTGTTGTATTCAATTCATTTTGGGAAAAAAAACCAGCAAGGATTGATAGAAAAGAAAATCTCCTCTTTGTTGCTGTTGTCTACATCTATATATACCTTTGTACATGTACAAAGTAAAATTAGTGCTTAAAGATGTTTTGAGTGAATGTTACTTTCCGTCTTCAGTAACATGAACAAATTGAAACCAAGTACCAACTACCTGCTCCTCCGTCCAATCACATCCATATACTGTCATTATCCCCAAAGCCATTTTCAGGATGTATTCATCAAGTTTATTCCCACGTGACCGGTTGAACCAACTACAGGATGAGTCAAAAAGAAAGTGACCGAATTTGAAAAAAATGTTTAAAATATTTGGCTCGTTCTATGTTAATAAAAAAACACGGATAAAGTACATCTTATCAGACTTGTATGACTCGTGACTCGGACTCGGACTCAAGTCCGACTCAAGTCACATTTTTAATGACTCGGACTGGGACTCGAGTCACTTTGACTTACAACTCGGACTTGGACTCGGACTCGGGGCTACAGACTCGGACTTGGACTTAAACTGACTTGTGACTCGACGGAAATTACCGCACTGCACACGCGCACATATATAATTCGATCGTTTTCTTTACTGTGCAATACATGTACAGGGCGCTCGATGTGGTGTGTGCGTGGCTGTGGCCGGTTACCGATATATTGACTTATAGAAATCAATGTACTGAAACTTGTACCCCGCCATCAACACGCAATACTGCATTGGTGCAAGATTGATAGGGTAAGATACCAGACTTTTCTTGTCAGACGTCCTGTTGTTCACACGTGTATTGCTGTCGCATCGCGATAACGTGATATGAATAGTCTGCTGATCTGCCCGTTTCGGTAATGTTACATGCAAGTTGCAACGTACGTAGATCATGATGGCATCCACTCCAAAAATTGTCAATTTTGGATATCTTAACTTCAAGAGAAATGCCAATGGAAGATCAAGTGCAGAATGCAAGTTCTGCAGGAAGAAAATAGAGGAGAAAACCGGCACTACGTCCAACTTCAATCGCCACCTTTCACGTATATAGAAGTCTAAAAAGAGATATTTGAAACACCTGGACTTTAAATGCAAAAGTTAGGCCAGTACCAGTTTTGCCAGAATTGCCTTTGTAACTGTTTTTGCAAATGAACTCCTCATTTCCAGAGAAAATTAGAGAAAAGCTTTGGGGAAAAAATGAAAATTTACAGCACCTGAAATGTACATATTTCCACATCATTTCAAAGGTGACTCTGAATCTCTGAATTCCCTAAAATGTACGTTTTTTGATACAAGAGGTGACTCGTGACTCGGACTTGGACTCAACCTTTGTGACTCTCTGACTCGGACTTGACCTGGAGGACTCGGGACTAAGGATGTGAGTCTACGTTTAATTTAATAAACGTTTAGCACAATTTTCCCGTAGCGTTTAAACGTTTAAACGTTTAGTCAAGACTTCAAAAAGACTGCCGCCTGTGTCCCAATATAATGTGCGGTAACTGCGGTCACAATACTTACTTTGTATATACACTTGTATACACTTTAACCACCCCTTTTTCCATGTTCTTTTGAAGTCTGCAGGCTAAATAAATTAAGAAGAAACGAATCGTCTGCATTCTGCAAGTGTTGTGGAATTAAGTGTCACTTCAAGCAGAAATTTCAAGGCCTGAGGAAGATCGTTTATTTGTATTTTTAAGATCCGATTTTCTTAAAGAAACAAAAAGACCTTATATTTAACGGAAATGCAAACTGCGTCCAAATTCCAAAATATGAAAAACTTTGCCTGCACAAATTTCCCGAAAGCGGCAGCATTCTTGAGCTGCTAGTTTTCTGCAGGCTGCCAGAAAAATAGTCATATATTTCTTGCTACGCATCCGGCAGTCCCAGCTCAGGCATCACAGGGGAGCCTCCTAGCAACATTATTTCTAGGCAACCAGGTTGGAATGTGATAATGGGCATGCAGCCATGCACCTGTGGCTCAGATAACTCAAGTTGCGCGTGGAAGGAACGTCATATTCATGAAAGCAGACGGACCGTGATGAAAGCAACCAATGGCGTATTTAGTTGACGGGAACCAGCTCATTTCATTGGCTGAGATACTATCATCGCTGTTTATCATCTAAGAAGCTTGCAATTACTGGCGGCAAGTCATCAAAGGCCTTAAAGTTCGATGGCCTACAGCCGATCCCAACCGCATATACTTTGTAGCAACAACAGCGGCATTGTATCAATTTGAACAATGCCGCTGTCAATCATTCTCGGAAAAGACTTTTTTGGAGCTGGATTTTATTTGGGATTTATTTTTTCAAAGGCGGGGGGAAAAGTTTATACGAAAAGTGAGGGAAACTGAAATAAACATGGATTTTCACCCTGTAAAGGCCTGTATCGTGTATATGTACATGAATAAGTGATGAATAAATGGGTTTTCTTTTTTGTTTTTTGTTGGGGGGATATTCCAAATAATTTATTGAATGCAGAATTTATACTAATTACTAAACCAATTTGACAGGGGCCTTTTTTTTTTTACGACTGCGTTACCATTAATTGCCGTTGGGGAAAATGTTAACTGACAAGAATTTTAAAAAAGTGTCTTGACCCATGGGCCTGTATTTTACGTCCTACATGCATCCTTTGGTCGTCATTCGTCAGGCAAACATGTTAACAAATAATAAATATCCAACAATTTTATTTTTCGATGTAACTTTTCTATCCAGGAAGGTTTTTAGCTAATGATACTAGCAGCATTTAATAATGTTCCTAATGAGGTAGATTTTTTTACGTATCACAATATTTTTAAGGGGGAGGGTGCACTTTTCTCCACAGAACAATTCAACAATTATAGTTGCAGTCGCAGTTCGGCTGTGGGAATTAAATACTTGAAATCAATGAAGATAGCAAGTTAGAATTATACAAACAAATAAATTCAGGGTTCAGACTTCAGAAACTACGTTTTTATTTCTTGAAGCAAAATAAAACAACACATATCAATATAACAAACAACAAGACTACAACTAATGGACTCATTGTCCAAGGTCAAGTTTTGAAACAAAGAATAAATAATGAAAGGGAATTAAACATTTAACAATTAACTTAGCATGTTGTCACCCCACCTTTCGTCGCAAGGCCAGTACTGATTAAACTGTTATATTTATCATCATGAAATATCACTTCCTTTTTTTGTTGCACGGGGGATTTTACGAAAGCTGTAAACCGTAAATGGCAATGTAAATCAATTTAATTTTCTTTTCATTTTTTTTTACTCTTTGATCAATCATTCCCAGCAAATAATGAATAACAAAAACTGAATGAGTTATGCCAGCCCATAGGTCTACCAGGTTTGAAATGAACTTTTGTTCTGAAACTCAAACTTCAAAATGATATTTATTTTCGACATATTTTGTTTCAGTTGAACTTTTAAAACTTAAGGTACGCTAAGTAAAACGCTTGCTGATTCAAAACTGGACGCGACGCCAGTCTACAGTTGATCCTTCATCTTGTTAAGGAACACCAACATATTGACGTTTTCTGGAAGTAGGAGACTTCTCTTGCTATTGACAATGTTCCCAGCAGCTGAGAACACTCTCTCCGAGGGTACTGAGGTTGCAGGGATGGCGAGGAACTTCTGTGCTAGCCTTGACAGAGTGGGGAAAAGCTTACTGTTATCTCGCCACCAGTTCATGGGGTCTGTCGCATTGTCCAGTGGGGGACTACGCATGTACATATCAAACTCTGACTGAGCAACTGCAGCCACATCGACATTGGATTTTTCACTGCCTCCGCTGGTTCCAAGTAAAAAGTCCATGCCAGATGCTTCTTTGGTCTTCTTTGCTGGTGGTTCTTCCTGCCCCTGTGTGGCCGAAATAATTACTGCCATTTCTTCCTTGACAGCACAGAAGGGAAGATCTCGGTAGTCTTCGTCCACGAAGGAAAGATGCTTGTACCGTGGATCTAATACCGATGCCAACATAGGAGGCCCGGTCAGGGCCTCCTCACCCTCAGAGCAGAATCTTCGCTCGAGATCCCTGGCCACTACTTTTTTTAACTCATTAATGGGTGCAGAGTCGGCTTCTAGGGGCTCCATGTGGTTCCTCACCAAACCTCTAATAATTGGATGGACGATAGAGGCGCTAACATTCTTCTCCGCTGACAGCACTGTTGTTGCAACCTGTGTGGAATACAAGATCACCCTTCATTATTAATTATTATCAACCATTTCGTGTCACACCTTTATGATCAGTCACCACGCATGCTCAATATTTCGGAATCGTTTCAGCGACATTTTTAAAAGATAGCACGTCGGACAGTCTGGCAAACAGCCAAGAAGCTATTTTAGCTCCAAAAATTTCTTTTCATTTTTCTTTGCATGCATACACTGATGAACTATCGTACCTGCAAATGTAGCAGCAATTGTTGTTGTCCCTGAATTAATGCGCCCATTGCAATAAATTATCGTTTACTTATCCTGTACTTTTTGTTCGTTCCATTCCACATTTTACAAGTGAACAACGTTGGTAATGCAAAAACGGGTAATGCAAAAACGGGGTGGGGCATCTTACATTAATTTCGGTGGGGGTAATTTTATAATTTACCATACCTGAAGAGGTTTGAGGCACGTAACTAACTCGCCCATGAGGTTCCACTGCTCTGACTTCAGATCCAACGTCTGCGCATCAGATAGTTTTGTGTATTGTCTGTCGCTGAGGACGGAGCAGACTGGCCAGCGATTCTCTAGGAGTCGTTGCAGCATCTCAAAAACGGAATTCCAGCGCGTCTTGCACGAAGATATTAGGCGATGCTTTGGAGTGTCCATTTGCCGCTGTTTGGATTCAAGGGCTTTTGTGGCCACATTGCTGTGTTTAAAGTGGCCGACAAGACGCTTTGCACCACCGACGACAGTTTTGATGCGGCTGTTGCAATCCAGGCCTTTGTTCACGCTTAACTGCAAGGTGTGAGCGGCACATCCAACATCGGTAACCTCCATATTGGATAGAGTTCCAATGTCCTTCGTGTTGGACGCATTGTCGTGAACTACAGCGCTGATCTTGCCGCTTAGTCCCCACTGATTGACGACTTCTTCGAGCTGGTTGGAAAGGGCTTGAGCTGTATGACGCTGCGGGCCTTGTGTTTCTTCTTCTTGATCTTCTTCATCGCTGTGATGAAAAGAGGCAACAGGGGCCGTGTCCAATACAAACGCATGGTGTTTCCAGTCCCGGATAAAGTGGCATGTCACAGTCATGTAGCCCTCTTGACTCATTGATGTCCAGCAGTCTGTTGTTAGGGCGACGCTGTAGGCATCTTGCAACTCCTTATTTAGAGAGTCTTTTTTCTGCTCGTACATCAGATGCAACTGAGCTGTCATTGTTTTTCGGCAGGGTACCTTGTATCCAGGTTCCAGATACGCCAATAGCTTTCTGAACCCATCTTCCTCTACCAGGCTGATCGGCAAGCTTGCCTGAGCAATTGCTGCAGCTATGAGTTCTGAGATTTTGGTTGCCCTAGCTGGGTTGCAATTTTCCTTCCTTAGGAATGAGGTCATCATTGTCTGGCTGCCGCTGGCGGTTTCATCTGATTCTCGCATGGATGGGTGTTTAATTTTTATATGATTAATCATCGTTCCGGTGGAACCACCTTTGTATGAGAGGGTAGCGCTGCATATTTTGCATTTTACACTATGGTCATTCACTTTTTCAAACGTGTTCCACACTGGACTATTTGATGTGCGAGGCATTTTGTCAAGCAGGAACAAATTGGTTGAATGGAGCGAGGAACAAATCGAGGAACGAACAGTACGAACAAATCGAAAGAAAGTGCTGAAGTGTCAGGTGCAGCGCCAATAAATACCCTTACAAAACTTCTGAATTTTGATCTAGCAACGTTTGTAATTGAGAGGTTTATAACGGAAGCAAATAATTTGCTACATTTTCAAATAAACGAAAACCGCAGCCGAGGATGGAGCATCTTTTCGGAAGTCGGAAACGGGCCTATTTAAAAAACAAAGGTAAAACACGCAAATAATCGACGATGATATCGCTCTTTTAAAAACCGCAATTTCCTTCCTATAATAGATCCCGTAAAGTCACCGCCCCTCAGCTCCCGCCCCGAGATCCAAAAAAATATTTTTTATTTTTCCCCTGCCAACACTAAACAAATTCTGGGTCATCGTCATCGATTTCCTTGTTACGGAAGCGGCAGTAACTTTGGATACAGGGAGCGGGAAAAAATAATCCTAATGCAGCAAAATACATCGTTTTAAATAACGCCTTCATAACTTACGGGGAGCGGGGTAAACTGTTTTTTGGGGGGGGGGGGGTGACTGTCCTCGCCGGTTTTAAAATCATTATGAAATTGCTAGCCATTGGTTTGATTACTGCACACACCAAGTGATGATTGCAGCAAATTCAAGTTCAGAGAAAAAATACAGACAAACAGACAGACTCGGAATTGTTTTAAAACTCAGTATTTTAATAATAAACCTAGGAGAGGCGCCATGCGCGCCAGGCATCGATCTCGGCCCAGCGGCGTGTTGAAAACATCAAACACAAGCAATTGTATACACTGTGTATCAATTTGACACAAAAGAGTTGCCGATCATTGAACAATGCATCAATCAAACTTCTTGGAACATGATTAACTACTATAGAATGCGTTTCTAATTCTTTATAAATGAAATAAAATAAACATCGTAGATTCTTTGTAAATAAAACTGGAGGGTAGGTTGCGCAAAATACAAGGTCCCATTTTTGAAATTTGAGTTTCGTTTAAACGTTTGGGAAAATTTCTAAACGGATTTGATTTCTTTTTCGTTTACACGTTTACACGTGTAAACGTCACATCCTTACTCGGGACTCGTACTTGGACTCGAGAAATGTGACTCGGACTCGGACTTGGACTCGATGTTTCGTGACTCGAATACAAGTCTGTATCTTATTGACTATTAACTGTGAAAATTTCATTTAAATTGCAAACTCTATTCCCAATTCATGTCTATTTCAATAAAACGATCACAAAACTTGGCTGTCCACCACTTATCAATTACCGTGCTGCGAACTGATAATACATCTCCCAATGAGGATAATCAAACATCAATTGTTTTCCCACCTCCATGAATGAACGAGAACTTGCAAAGGAAAAGATACAAAAATCACCATCGATATTTCGAAGAAAAAAGAGAGTGAACTTGCTTCTCATATTCAAAACACACAACCTGATAGTAAAAATTCTCTTGATTTCAATTATTAAAATCTCATTTGTATTTGAATACTTGTGTGTAATCTGTAATTCTCACTTAGCTCATTTAGCTTTCAATATTATCGCATTCCTTGGACAGCTACACAAACGGGTTCTTTTTAGTAAAACATGCATAACTTTGGATGGCATGATCAAATTTAGTGATTGGGTTTTTTTCAGATGAGTGGAAGAACATGCTCTTTTAAGACATACTTCTTTGGTGTATCTAATTTGATTGCTTTTTAAGAAAAAACAAATCTTGAGTGCGGGTCACTTTCTTTTTAACTCACCCTGTATAAACACAATGTGAACATGCATCTCTCACACACTAAACTTAATTGTCTTCATTTTCTATCATCCTCTTTTTTTCTGTCTTTTCTTCTTGTACGGTAGCCCTCACATTGAGTGGCATTTATGCCTTGTGAAGGGAAGACTTGCATAAAATAACAATTACATGTACACAATGTGCATGTTTAATCTGGAGCAAATAATTAAAACTGAAACAAATTGAATTCTCAGATTTCATGTCAGTGCAAGTAGCGAAACTGACTTACATGCATCTGCTTTGGTTACAGGAACTGATACCACAAGATAGTCATATGCATTAAAATCCAACAGAAATGTTGGGGGAAAAAAGAGAAAAAAGAACAAGAAAGTTTCTGTTTCAATTGCTCAAGGTCTTACAATCCCTGTAAGTATAAATCTGGAGTGATCTTGCAATAGAAAAGAACATTCTTTGCTGCATCTGAATAAAATGTAGCTCACGGAGCTCAATGCTACATTGTGCATGAACTATGGGTAATGGCTACCAAGACAGCTCCACTCCATCAACTGGGTGGAACACTGAAGTTGAAAAGCATCTTGAGAGCTATTACATGAGTAGAGAAAGAACTGATCAAATGAAATGGTTAAGTGCTGAAATCATTGCACCAATCGGCCTCTGCTTAAACTTTGTCTTTCTCTTCACAGTCATTCGAGTGAAGTCCATGCGTACAATCATCAACATCTACTTATTCAATCTGGCTGTGGCTGACTCCCTCTACCTTATGACTCACTTCATATTTGCATTGTTTTCACCCACAGAGTACAACTTATTGGTCGACAATGCAGTATCAAGTGTCCAATGCACGTTCCTCGCTACTTCTAATTTCTTTGTGGTTACCATAGCAGCTGAGAGATTCTCTGCAGTACGCAATCCTCTGACATTCAAGGAAAAAGCCTCTAAATCTCGAGCAGCAAAGATATCAGCAGGACTCTGGGTGCCAACAATTATTGTAGGTGTGATTCTGATTTTCTTACCATTAACAGATGCTGTCTTCACTAAAGTCTACTTTGGGATTCTTTCCATTATCAGCATTGCCTCTTTGATAGCAACTCTTGCTTTGGACATCTATGTAGTATTGAAAGTATGCAAGCAATCAGCCCTGTTTCCGAACCGTCCCAAACAAGCAGGTAAGGTCCTCTGCATGGTTATCATCAACACTGCTGTTTTCTTCATTCTGAACTCACTGTACATTGCAACTGCAATTATGACAATTCATGTACTTGTAGTGGCATCAAAGTATACTTCAACTGCTGAGATTGTTGCCAATCTGGAACTTGGAGAGACAATAACTACTCTGTCTACATGCGTTGAAATTTTGCAACTGATCAATAGCTCAATCAATTCCCTGGTCTACAGTGCCACAAACGCTGACTATCGTGATGCTGTAGTCAAGGCTTTCTCATTCCTGAAACTGTGCTGTCGTTGCTGCCCAAGACGGAATCCCAGCCGACCATCGCAGCCAGGGAAGCAGATTGAGCTTCGTGTGTTTCCACGGGCAGAAAATGACCAAGAGCACCGTGCTGCCAGGCCAAGCAGCAGCAAGCCACCAAGCCAAGGGCATGCACAACACACAGAGAGTCAGCAGTCACTGAACAATTGTCAAGAACAATGTTCCAGGCAAAGCAGCAGCAAGGCATCCATGCACAGTCAGCAGCATGTTCAAGTGCATGTTGAGGTACATCCAGAACCAGCAGGGACCTCAGCACTTGCAAGTTCTCATCAGGAACAATGCTCTACTCTGACTGACTGCAAGTCATCCATGCAAGGGGAACAGTGTGTACATCCAGAACCAGCAGAGAGCCAGCAGTCACTTGCAAGTACTCAGGAACAATGTCCTGAGCTGACTGGCACCCAGCCATCAGCACAGGGGCAGCAGTATGCATATCCAGAACCAGAAGGGAGTCCATCGTTGAAAAGCTGTCAGGAAAAATGTTCCCTGGTACCTGATGAGTGCAAGCTATCCATGTAAGGGCAGCAATGTGCAGAGTCAATGTGCTTTTGAACTTGCTGTCGTGTTTTAACTGTAGAGCAGCTTTTAGGCTGTTTCATACATCTTCTTCATTGGAATGCCAAGTAGATTTGACATCAAGAAACATTAACGCACATTATGTTGGAGTTGAAATGTGTTTTACTTCAGCGAACTGCCAATACATGTACGCACCATGACATCAGTAATGTGCAGGCCCGCCCAGAGCAGATTGCAACCAACTATCAGTAAAGGCAACAGCTGGTATTCATGCAATGTATGTATGTAAATGGTTCAGAAATGAACAAATCCCAAATAATTTAATTGTTTTCTGAATCAAATTTGTGTGCGTGTTAAAAGGTAGAGTAGATCATTTGCAACTATCCAAAAAGTAACTGACAAATTTATTGTTAAAAGGCTTTCGGTTTTAATGCCACTAAACTCCGTGTGAAATCATTCTTTCTGGCACGCTGTCATTTTGAAGGAAACAGTGAAAGAAAGCTATTTCCAACGATGCATCATGTTAGTTCACGTAGTTGGTTTGTAAATTCGGTGAATCCATGAATATGTGCGCGCAAGCGTTGACACGACGCACACGCACACTAAGTTGCTTTTATACGTCAGTTCAGTGCATGACATCACGTAGCTGCAATTGACTGAATGAGAATGTGTCCCTGGGGCTGAATTCGGACGCAATATAAAACATGACTCACGACTTTTGAATGGAACCTGAGATCCTAGAATATAGTTTTCTCGGAAGATACTGCATTCACAGAGCTTAAACTTCATCGTGTTAGTTGTTAAGCACCTGTTTTTAGATTTTGAGCACTTTTGTAGCTTCAAACGAAAAAAAAATGTGCACAAATGACAAATGATCTACCCTTCCTTTTAATGAGCTTGTTTGTTACTTTTTTCAGTGTGACAATGTACATGTATTGGTACTAACATATGGAACCCCTGAAATCTTTTCACTGTAAATAAATGTTTTTTTTAAGTGCCTTTGAAACAGATTTTGAGGTTTTTATTTTAGGAACTATATTCCAAGTCTTTGGATGTTTCAGGCTTTTAAATATATTTTTTTATGAAGTTCCATATTCATGAGTAATACAGTGATGTCATGAGCTGGAACTTCAATGTCACTGCTGTTTGAGGGGAAAGGAAAGTTAACAAAAGTGTTTTGATCAAGTTTGATGTGACTGTTGCGTTCATTAGCACATAGCATGCAGCCAATGAAATACTTAAATGTAAAAACTTGTACACATGTACAATGCAATCAATTTTAGGTTCATAAATTATACAGAAAATCCAAAAGCTGTAAAGTGTAAAATACCTAAATCAACATCACAGCAACATTAGAAACAATTGTGAACATGTGCACGGGCATTGCAAAAAAGTGTGCGTAAAATGTGGTCATTACTTTCATACAAACACAGGGCTAGGATATTTCATGTTTGAGTGAATTTCATTTGACAGCCTTTTGATTCTGTTATTAACAGACCTTGACAAATCCCAAGCATGGAGCACAATACACACATACTCCTAAAAAGGCACAAACTGTATGGTTATTGTTATTGAGGGTTCAATATTTAGGGAGCAAACTCACCGCAAATCCAAAGTGTCATGGGAGGTTTTGGATCTCAATCTTGAAGATCTCTGAGGTGAAGTGCTGTTGTGTCAGATAGTGATAAGGATCCGTTATGGCAGCGCCAGTCACCGTACGTCAGAGGTGCTGGTGGAATGGTTATCTTGTGGGTCAAGACCTGATGCACAAATGAACAGATTAAAACAAAATTGATATGGCTAGAGCTATATTGTCTAGGTTTTCACCCAAAACAATAACATGGGAACAATCTGACAATAGCCGTGGCAATAGCTCTAGAAGCCCGTTTCAGACACAGCTTAAGTAACAGATCGACAAAGTTGCAAGTTATGCATTAGCAGCATCTGATTCCAAATGTATACCAATCTTTGTGCATACATCAGGCATGCAACTGGGAGTTTAGAAAAAAAAACAAGGAAATCCCAACTACACAAGACTTTGTACAGTGTTTTTCAATTTGTAATGGCATTCGTGAGAAGTCAAAAGCGAGGAAATCAGCGGATCCGAGGAAAAGTTGCAGGCCTGATACATGTTGCATAATGTAGAAACCATTTTTTGAAGACCAAATTAAGTGCTGTTTTTTTGTTCAAACTTTCTTGAATTCTATCTTTAGCAAGGAGAAATCCAATTGAATAGATGTTTTCCTGCAGAGCACAGATATATAATATACGAGGCCATTGTAGACTTTAGATGTAAAGTATGGCATTTAAGTCTGGTGTATTAAAGGTGTCATCACAGGTACAAGCTGGAAAAAAATGTAGTTGATAGTTAAAAGCCCGGTTCATACTTCACGCGAAAGCAAAAGTGAAGCGAATACATTCAAAGGGCGTCCACCATTGTTGACGACATGAATTTTGCTTCGCACATGCTTTCGTGTGAAGTATGAACCGGGCTAAATTCAGCAATTTGTACTCCACTTCTGTTAATAGAGCGTGCAAGTTGACCTCAAAAACCTAGGTGATTTTACTAGGTTTATCCAGTCAAGGGCAAAGAATGGGTTCTGAACAAGAAAAAATCATTCCAATTTACAACACATTCAAAAAATATTACAAGTTGATTAATAAAGTAAATTGAAATAATGTTGACCTCCACTTCCGTTCATTGGGTGAATTGGGTGAATTTAGACACGGGAGTCTGTGGCTAGACTAGTCAGTGTTTGGTACCAAGATATTCACATGAAAAGTGAATGTGAACTGGTGAGACTTGCATGCTCTATAATTGTACATAATCTGTGTAGCACCACTAGTCTGTTGTATTACATTATGAGCTTCATGTCTGTATAACGTTTAAATGCAAAGCAATATTCTAATATTTCTTTTAGATGGACTCAAGGGTACTTCAAATTTGGGTAATTGAAAAATCAATGCTGTGAAATATGAATGTCGTTGTTAAGTTAGCATCATACAAGATGTATCTTAATTTGCACAGTATCTGAGGAATTGTTGCTTTTTATATGTTAAAGCTGCTATTTCCTTGTGTAATTTAAAACTCTAAACACAAATAATACAGAAATGTACTATCACCAAATCGGTGTTGGAGCTCTCATGTCTTTCTGATACCTAGTAATATTTGAAAAAAATATGGCAGGACAAACCATGTTTAAAGTCACACACTTTTTATAGGACAAACAGATTTGCATGTAAAAGCAAGATCAGTGATAAAATAAATAAAAGTGTACACCAGCAACATTTAAACAAACAGTGATATTCCTGAATTTTGTATTTAAAACCTAATTCTTGCTTGTACAAATGTAATTGTTGAAAAATCCCTATTGAGTAAAAGAGCTTGCTGGTCAATGTTGAAAGTACAAACATATACCCTCAATATTCATGCCACAAAAGTAAGCCAACATATTGGTCAGCAAAGGGGATGACAAGGGTTTAAGTCTTTTGTGGCTTGTTTCTGTCTTTTCAATAATTAATTCCTGACAGACATATTAGACAATGCACAGTATGTACACCTGTCAATCTTTCTGTGTGTTGCATTGTGATTGGTTGGAATTGATCAGCATTAGCTACTAATAGGCCACGCCCCTCGACAGCTGATCCAATCAAACATGAAAGCTGATCTACGTCTTTTGCAAAAAGGAAACTTCAGAGGAAATACTTACCTTTGTAAGCGCCAAGCCGGAAACCAACAGTGTTATCTGTCAATGAAAATAATAAGACATGAAACTGAAATGTTTGCACAATTTATCCAGGGCCAAGTTTCATGAAGACCTGACAAGAAATTAGGGGGATAACTGAAAAAAAATCCTCAAACTTTCTGTTGCGGTTTTCATAACAGGCACACTATGTACCTGTGTGCACACTTTATATCCAGGCGAGGGGGTACTTGTGAACGGAGCGGATACACACAAAAAATGAAGAGATTGGATAAATAAAAATAAATGCCAGTTTCACTCACCGATGCCATCTACACTCTTGCCGATGGTAAACTCACACTTGATGCGATAGCTCTCTAATACTGGCTGTGAGTGTGCAAACAAACAATGAAAATTAAAGGAACAAATCAGACATCTCCAATGTCAGGAATATTTACCCCACAAAAGATTCACATGCTGTATAGTTTATCTAACAAGAATTCCAGGTTGAAATATCAATTTAGTACAAGTAAGGTGACTCTGTCTAGCTACCCGAGTTCAAAGATCACACCAGTCAAGCTAACCTAACACTATGTGCCAAAGTGAACTATCATTGAGATTATAATTCATAAAATCATTCACAATACTACAAATAAATTTAGTAAAATCTATATTTTTAACAACAAATATTTGTCACCTAGCTTACTTACCGATGGCTTAATTGGCTCCAACTCACATGCCATCCCACTGTGGCTCTTTCTGTCAATCAAATGAAGAGTGCACTATTAAACACGAGGTTGTGGGTTCGAATCCCACTCCAACAGGCTTGTGAATTTCTTGTGGTAACCACAGCTATATATGCACAAGATTCAAACTGGCCCACTAACCTTTGCAAGCTCTGTTATTGAGTGTTTAAGATGTCTGCACTAGTAAGCAGGAGGTCATGGGTTCATATCCCACCCAAGCAAGCTAGCAGAATCTTTGCTTGTAAGCTCTCAGACAGCACTGAATATACAGTGCATTCAAATTTACATTGGTGAAGGTCAAAACCAGTTATTCACTTTCACAACTCCCCTACGTAAACAATTTATTAAACTCATTGATTGTGGCACCTGCTATATCAGATTGGGACCAGCCAGCCAACCCCAGCAAGCCTGATGGTCAAGTAGTTGAGACATCTGCACTAGGAAGGAGGAGATTGTTGGTGCAAGTCTCATTCGAGCTGCTTATGAATTGTGAAGTTTTGGTTTTGTGTTCATTTTTTTTGCTTTTTGTTTGTAAACATTTGTTTTACCAACTCCCCCCCCCCTCTTTTAATCTTTGGGACTTTTGTGCGTGGAAAGGAAGTTTATTTCAGAAGTAGGCCCAAAGTTTGTTGAGTTTTAATTGATTCTCAAGAAAAATGAGGCATCATTTTCTGGACTTTTAACGAAATTTCAGGGCAGCTGTACATGTAAGTCCACTTGGCAGAAAACTGTGTCTGGAAACAGTTTTTTTGTCAAGGAAGATCACATTTCCATTCTGGCCCACAACCATCCCGTGTCTTTGGTGAGTAGCTCACCTTTGTTGCTTCAGCCAGGGAGACATCTCCCCAATGTTCCGTTGCAGCATCTTGGATAAATTCCTCAGAAACTCCCTGGTGTCGGTCTGTTTGGTGGATAGCTGGTCCTCATACGGCTGGTTCCACAGTGGAGTCACCATGTTGTTTAACCTGTAGATTGCAAAAAGATGTGAAAAGCACATTCAGTATTTCAGAGTCTTAACACATTTTGGAAAAAGTGAATAGCTCAACTGCTATAAGCCTTTTTGAGATATGGCAGACACAATACAAAGGTGTTATTTGATTTGGGTATATTGGGGTAACTTATGCAAAAGACTAGACCCAGACCAAATAGCGCCCTTGTATTGTGTCCACCGTATCTCCAAAGGGTAATGGACTGTGTGTGGAACTTGTCATCTTTCTACATACAACCATTCTCATAACTTCAGTTCATAGTTCTGGTAGTGCATTGCAAATTAAAGTTTAAGCTTGAAACAATGAGGGTAATGTGTTCAACTTAGACAGTTTATCAGATAAAATAAGAATCATCTGAAACTGTGAATCGCACACACACTCTACACAGACATGCAACCTTTAATGCTGTACCTTCTAGGAAAATAAACAAGGAAAACTGTTCACATAACAGTTTTGTTCAACAAATGCCAGATGAGGTACTGAATTTACTTTAAGTTCCGTGCTATTTTCGAGTTTCATTCCGAAAAACAGATTTCTTTACCAATCTGCTATTTTTCAAGCAATACAAAAGTTATTCACTTTTGAATGATACACCAAACACAAAAAAGCTCAGAGTGTAGGAATTCCATGGTTTCAAATCTTTGTTGATGCAGTGACTATTTGTATCTGCATTTTAAATGTCTTTCTTGATTATCCAAACACTAAATCTAAGGCTTGTGTCAAGTTTCTATATGTGAGTTATAAATAAATATGTTGTAAGCAAAATGTAGTGAACGAACTGAATGATTTTGTGTCATTTTTTGATCTGCATCTAATTTTATTCAGTTATAGATAATCCATTGTATGTTATGTCTGTGATCTTTTATGAGCTGTAAAACTCTGTAAAAAGTGCAGAGTGCCATTTCACTTTTTTTTTGAGTAACCTAGATATGAGCAAAACCTTAACGACGGATTACACAATGTACATGTAAAAAAGTCTTGAAGAGAAAATAAAAAGTTATTCTGAAGCACATCTATGCCAAAGTAAACTGTGAAACTCTATTGTCTACTTTGGTTTAGTATGCATTCAAAACAAGGAACAAAGAACTTATCCTTACAAATCTTAGAGATAAAAAAACACTAAGGGGAAAAAATGTAGAAACTTTTAGTTTCAACTACACATTGCTCCAGGTCTTATATTCGCTGTTAGTATAAAACTGGAGTGATCCTGAAATAGGACAGAACACTCTTTGCTACATCTGAAAAAAGGTTGGATATGGAGAACGATGAAGTTGAAAAACACCTTGAGAACTTTATCAAGACTCACAAAAGAAATGAACAAATACTATGGTTAAGTACTGAAATCATTGCACCAATCGGCCTCCTCTTGAACTTTGTCTTTCTCTTCACAGTCATTCGAGTGAAGTCCATGCGTACAATCATCAACATCTACTTATCCAATCTGGCTGTGGCTGACTTGCTCTTCCTTATGACTCAATTTATATTTGTATTGTGTTCATCCAAAGACTACAAAGCATTCCAGAGTGTCAAATACATGTTTGTTGCTGTTTCTAGTTTTTTTGTAGTGATCATAGCAGCTGAGAGATTCTCTGCAGTGCGCAATCCTCTGACATTCAAGGAAAAAGCCTCTAAATCTCGAGCAGCAAAGATTTCAGCAGGACTCTGGGTGCCAACAATTACTGTTGCTGTGATTCTGATATTCTTACCAGAGACTGTCTTTGTTAACATCAACTTTTGGATTCATTCCATTATCACCATTGTCTGTTTAATAGCAACTCTTGCTTTGTACATCTATGTAGTGGTGAAAGTAAGCAAGCAATCAGCCCTGTTGCCAAACCGTCCCAAGCTAGCAGGCAAGGTCCTCCGTATGGTTATCATCAATACTGCTGTGTTCTTCATTCTCAACTCATTGAACACTGCAGCTGCAATTATTATCATTGCAGCAGGGAGTCCTTCTACAAGTGGGCCTTCCCAGTATATTGAATTTATAAAACTTGCAGAAAAAGCAAACACAGTGGCAATGTGTGCAGAAATCTTCCACCTTATTAATAGCTCAATTAATTCCCTAGTCTACAGTGCCACAAATGCTGACTATCGTGATGCTGTAGTCCAGGCTTTCTCATTCCTCAAACTGTGCTGTCGTTGTTGCCAAAGACGGAATCCTAGCCGACGATCGCAGCCAGGGAAGCAGATTGAGCTTCGTGTGATTCCACAGGCAGAAAATGACCAAGAGCACCATGCTGCCAGGCCAAACAGCAGCAAGCCATCAAGACAAGGGCATGCACAACACACAGAGAGTCAGAAGTCACTGGATGGCTGTCAAGAACAATGTTCCAGGCAAAGCAGCAGCAAGGCATCCATGCACAGTCAGCATGTTCAAGTGCATGTTGAGGTACATGCAGAACCAGCAGGGACCCCAGCGCTTGCAAGTTCTCATCAGGAACAATGCTCTAGTCTGACTGACTGCAAGCTATCCATGCAAGGGGAACAGTGTGAACATCCAGAACCAGCAGAGAGCCAGCAGTCACTTGCAAGTACTCAGGAACAATGTCCTGGGCTGACTGGCACTGAGCCTTCAGCACAAGGGCAGCAGAATGCACATCCAGAACCAGAAGGGAGTCAGTCGTTGGAAAGATGTCAAGAGGAATGTTCTCTGGTAACTGATGAGTGCAAGCCATGCATGTAAGGGGAGCAGTGTGCAGAGCCAGTGTGCTTTTGAACTTGCTGTGTAGCGTTCAAACTGTATAGCAGTTTTTAAGGTTTTTTTTCCATACATCTTCTTCATTGGAATGCCAAGTAGGTTTGACATCGAGAAATTTTTAAAGCATAATATGCTGGAGTTGAAATGTGGTACATATCATAACATCAGTAATGTGCAGGCCCAGGGCAAATTGCAACCAACTATCAGTGAAGGGAACAGCTGGAATTCCGTTGTGCAGAAATTACAAATTCAATATTTGTTAACTGTTATTTGAAGGAGGTTTTGTATGTGTGTACAAAAGAGCACTTTTCTTACTTTCTGTGTGTGTGAAAGTATTGGCGCTAACATATGGATAACCCAGAATTTTTTCCACTGTAAATATGTTTGTTTTAAGTGCCTTTGAAAGGTATTTTCAGGTTTTGATTTCACGAAATGCACCTCTTTATTTTAAGTCTGAAAATGTTTTAGGCTTTTAAATATTTTTTTATGACAGTGCCAAGTTCCATATTCATGAGCAATACAGTGATGTCATGAGCTGAAACTTTAGTGCCACTGCTGTTTGAGGACAAAAAGTTGTGTTTTGGTCGAGGTTGATGTGACTGTTTTCTTCATTTAGCACATGGCAGGCAGTCAATGAGATACTTTAATGTACAAACTGCTATGTGTAAATAAACATACATGTTCAATGCAGAGGAATCTAGGCTCATAAATTACACAGAAAATCCCAATGCTGTCAAGTGTAAAATACCTAAATGAATGTATCAGAACAACATTAAAAACAGTTACGAGCATGCATAGGCATTGTACAAAGTGCACTTCAAAAGATTACAAGCATTCAGATGCTTATTATTACTTTCATAAAAACACAAGGCTTGGTTGTTTAAATGCTCAAGTTGGGACATTCATATCACAGCCCTTTAACTTTGTTATTCTATTAAAAGACATTGAGAAATCCCAACCATGGAGTACATTATAAACTCTTAAAAGAGCACAAACTGTATAATTATCATTGTTGAGGGTTCAATGTTTAGGGAGCAAACTCACTGTCACAAAATGTCTTGGGAGGTTTTGGATCTCAATCTTGAAGATCTCTGAGGTGAAGTGCTGTTGCGTCAGATAGTGATAAGGATCCGTTATGGCAGCGCCAGTCACTGGTACGTCAGAGGTGCTGGTGGAATGGTTATCTTGTGGGTCAAGACCTGATGCACAAATGAACTGATTAAAAGACATTGAATTTGCTATATTTTTAAAGGTATAAAGTCTAATATGAGCAAGTGAGATGTCTATGGCTATTGTCTAGGTCTTCACCCATAACAATTACATGGGAACAATCTGACAATAGCCGTAGCCATAGCTCTAGAAACCCGTTTCAGACACAGGCCTAAGTAACAGATAAGGCCGAAAAAATAATAGTTCTGCTTCCGATTACATGCCTTTCAAAAATAGGGTCGGACGGTCGTAAAAAAAAAATTTGGGGGCCCAATTTTTTTTATGCAGATTGAATGGGGTATGCAATTATATGCGAAGTTTTAGCCTGAACTATTTCCATTGCACTACGAAAGCTATACACAAAATGGCCACGAAAAGTGAATAAAACCTACCTTAATTATTGTCAATATATTTAAGTTCGATAATTCTTAAAAAATAATGGAAAATTCAGGCCGTTCACATCATATGCACAACGCTAGTCAAGACCGGAAGCTGGCCAAAACTTCGAAGTGCGTGTGATGCACTGTGCATGTGTGGCCCGCGGCCGACAGACCTCGTTTTACGGTCGAAAATTTCGGGAACACGCTGCATGTATCACTCCAAATACGAGTAGTGGGATCTCAAAATGAACTCTTGAACACGGAAAATACATACATAGACAAGATAGATCAATTCTGTGAATTAACTTGCAAAAATGTGCTTTCTCCATCGGTGTTTTCTTGGCATTTTTACGATGTCGAATCCGACCAGTTGACACTGACAGTGCACGTGCTTAATGCATAGCCATGCCAGCGCTATCGCATAGCCATGACAGACTGGTTAGCGCACTTTCATCATGTCTTCTAAATTGGCCCCTGCGCGTTGCGGCAGGGACCAGTCGTCACTGCATTGAGCAAGGTTTACGCACGTGATTATAGGCACCGTGACATCGAATTGCGAGGTATGATGACAGATCGCGAAGCAAATTTGGTTTCTTTGAAAAAAATAGCGAATGTAAGTAAGAAAACAAATAAATACAAACATTTTTTGGAAGCAAATGGGTTGTTGAGAGGTATTTTGTGAAGACAGAAAAGACAACAAGCTTTTATTTTTATTTATGCAATCATTATTTATTTTTATTTTTTGGAATTGCCGATAAAATTGTTAGGGTCGCAGCCTAAAAATAGGGTCGGTCAGGTAACCGGAAGCAGAAGTGTTATTCTTTTTGGCCTGAAAAAAGTGGCAAGTCATGCATTAGGAGCACACACGTGTACCATTCTTTGTGCATACATGTACATGTAGCACAACATGGAAAACATTTTCTGAAGACCAAACAAAGTGCTGAATTTTTGTTTCAAGTTTCCTTGAAATTTAATTTTGCGAGGAGAAATCCATTGGCTAGACTTTTTTCTGCAGTGCACAGACATATAATACGAGACCATTGTAGGCTTTAGATGTACAGTATGGGATTTAAGTCTGGTGTATTAAAGGTGTCTACACAGCTACTAGCTGGAAACAAATGTAGTTGATAGTTAAAGTCAGCAATTTGTACTCCACTTCTGTCAATAGAGCATGCAAGTTGACCTCAAAAACCTAGGTGATTTTACTAGGTTTATCCAGTCAAGGGCAAATAATGGGTTCTGAACAAGAAAAAAATCATTGAAATTTACAACACATTCCAAAAATATCGCAAGTTAGTAAATTGAAAAAATGTTGACCTCAACTTCCGTTCATGGGGTGAATTGGGTGAATTCAGACACGGGGGTCTGTGGCTAGACTAGTCAGTGTTTGGTACCAAGATGTTCACATGAAAAGTGAATGTGAACTGGCGAGACTTGCATGCTCTATAATTGTACATAATCTGTGTAGCACCACTAGTCTGTTGTATTACATTATGAGCTCCATGTCTGTATGATGTTTAAATGCAAAGCAATATTCTAATATTTCTCTTAGATGGACTCAAGGGTACTTCAAATTTAGGTAATTGAAAAATCAATGCTGTAAAATATGAATGTCGTTGTAAAGTTAGCATCATACAAGATGTATCTTAATTTGCACAGTATCCGAGGAATTGCTGCTTTTTATATGTTCATCAAAGCTGCTATTTCCTTGTGTAATTTAAAACTCTAAACACAAATAATACAGAAATGTACTAACACCAAATCGTTGTTTGAGCTCTTACGTCTTTCTGATACCTAGTAATACTTGGAAAAAAACTGCAGGGCAAATCATGTTTCTAAAAGTCACATACTTTTTATACGACAAACAAATTTGCATGTAAAAGCAAGATCAGTGATAAAAAAAAATAAAGGTGTACACTAGCAACATTTAAACAAACAGTGATTTTCCTGAATTTTGTATTTAAAACCTAACTCTTGCTTGTACAAATGTAATTGTTGAAAAATCCCAATTGAGTAAAAGAGCTTGCTGGACAATGTTGGAATTACAAATATATACCCTCAATATTCATGCCATAAAAGTAAGCCAACATATTGGTCAGCAAAGAGGATGACAAGGGTTTAAGTCTTTTGTGGCTTGTTTCTTTCTTTTCAATAATTAATTCCTGACAGGCATATTAGACAATGCACAGTATGTACACCTGTCAATCTTTCTGTGTGTTGCATTCTGATTGGTTGGAATTGATCAGCTTTAGCTACTAATAGGCCACGCCCCTCGACAGCCGATCCAATTAAACATAAAAGCTGATCTACGTCTTTTGCAAAAAGGAAACTTCAGAGGAAATACTTACCTTTGTAAGCGCCAAGCCGGAAACCTACAGTGTTATCTGTCAATGAAAATAATAAGACATGAAACTGAAACGTTTGCACAATTTATCCAGGGCCAAGTTTCATGAAGACCTGACAAGAAATTAGGGGGATAACTGAAAAAAACTCCTGAAACTTTCTGTTGCGGTTTTCATAACAGGCACACTATGTACCTGTGTGCACACTTTATATCCAGGCAAATGCGTACTTGTGAACGGAGCGGATACACATAAAAAATGAAGAGATTGGATAAATAAAAATAAATGCCAGTTTCACTCACCGATGCCATCTACACTCTTGCCGATGGTAAACTCATACTTGTTGCGATAGCTCTCCAATACTGGCTGTGAGTGTGCAAACAAACAATGAAAATTAAAGGTACAAATCAGACATCTCTAATGTCAGGAATATTTACCCCACAAAAGATTCACATGCTGTATAGTTTATCTAACAAGAAATCCAGGTTGAAATATTAATTTAGTACAAGTAAGGTGTCTCTATCTATCTACCCGAGTTTAAAGATCACACCAGTCAAGCTAAGCTAACACTATGTGCCAAAGTGAACTATCATTCAGATTGAAATTCATAGAATCATTAACAATACTACAAATAAATTTAAATAAAATCTATATTTTTATCAACAAATATTTGTCACCTAGCTTACTCACCGATGGCTTAATTGGCTCCAACTCACATGCCATCCTACTGTGGTTCTTCCTGTCAATCAAATGAAGAGTGCACTATTAAACACGAGGGTGTGGGTTCGAATCCCACTCCAACAGGCTTGTGAATTTCTTGTTATAACCAAAGCAATATATGCACAATATTCAAACTGGCCCACTAACCTTTGCAAGCTCTGTTATTGAGTGGTTAAGATGTCTGCACTAGTAAGCAGGAGGTCATGGGTTCATATTCCACCCCAGCAAGCTGGCAGAATCTTTGCTCGTAAGCTCTCAGACAGCACTGAATATACAGTGCATTCAAATTTACATTGGCGAAGGTCAAAACCAGGTATTCACATTTACAACTCCCCTACGTAAACAATTAATTAAATTCATTGATTGTGGCACCTGCTATATCAGATTGGGACCAGCCAGCCCACCCCAGCAAGCCTGATGGTCAAGTAGTTGAGACATCTGCACTAGGAAGCAGGAGATTGTTGGTGCGAGTCTCATTCGAACAGCTTATGAATTGTGAAGTTTTGGTTTTGTGTTCATTTTTTTGCTCTTTGTTTGTAAACATGTTTTTTACCAACTCCCCCCCCCCCCTTTAATCTTTGGGACTTTTGTGTGTGGAAAGGAAGTTTATTTCAGAAACTTTGCTGAGTTTTAATTGATTCTCAAGAAATGTGAGGCATCATTTTCTGGACTAACGAAATTTCAGGGCAGCTGTACATGTAAGTCAACTTGTCAGAAAACTGTGTCTGGAAACAGTTTTTTGCCAAGGAAGATCCCATTTCCGTTCTGGCCCACAACTATCCCGTGTCTTTGGCGGGTAGCTCACCTTTGTTGCTTCAGCCAGGGAGACATCTCCCCAATGTTCCGTTGCAGCATCTTGGATAAATTCCTCAGAAACTCCCTGCTGTTGGTCTGTCTGGTGGAAAGCTGGTCCTCATACGACTGGATCCACAGTGGAGTCACGATGTTGTTTAACCTGTAGATTGGAAAAAGATGTGAAAAGCACATTCAGTATTTCAGAGTCTTAGCAATTTCTGAAAAAGTGAATAGCTCAACTGCTCTAAGCCTTTTGCGATATGGCAGACACAATACAAGGGTGTTATTTGATTTGGGTATATTGGGGTAACTTATGCAAAAGACTAGACCCAAACCAAATAGCACCCTTGTATTGTGTCCACCATATCTCCAAAGGGTAATAGATTGTGTGTGGAACTTGTCATCTTTCTACATACAACCATTCTCATAACTTCAGTTCATAGTTCTGGTAGTGCATGTGCAAATTAAAGTTTAAGCTTGAAACAATGAGGGTAATGTGTTCAACTGAGACAGTTTATCAGATAAAATAAGAATCATCTGAAACTGTGAATCGCACACACACTCTACACAGACATGCAACCTTTAATGCTGTACCTTCTAGGAAAAAAACAAGGAAAACTGTCCACATAACAGTTTTACTCAACAAATGCCAGATGAAGTACTAAATTTACTTTAAGCTCCGTGCTATTTTCGAGTTTCATCCCGAAAAACAGATTTCTTTACCAATCTGCTATTTTCCAAGCAATACAAAAGTTATTCACTTTTGAATGAAACACCAAACACAAAAAGCTCACGTTCAGTTATTAAATTATTACTTTACAATTCCAAATTATTGGCTACCAAACATTATTTCTGTTCTCGCTGGGTAGGCTGGTTTCCCCCCTCCCCCCTCAATCAGTATCAATAATGTACGGACGGGAGCCAATCTGTTGGCAAAGCTGGTTATCAGTTTGGGCCAACAACAAAAAGAAAAGTTCATGGGTACTTTCCGAGTATAACATTTGATAGCAGAATTCAAAGTACACTTTCAATTTCAAGCAAGAGAGTGTAGGAATTCCATGGTTTCAAATCTTTGTTGATGCAGTGACTATTTGTATCTGCATTTTAAATGTCTTTCTTGATTATCCAAACACCAAATCTAAAGCTTGTGTCAAGTTTCTAAATGTGAGTTATAAATAAATATGTTGTAAGCAAAACGTAGTGAACGACCTGAAAGATTTTGTGTCATTTTTTTTATCTGCATCTAATTTTATTCAGTTACAGATAATTCCAGCGTTACGTTATGTCTGTGATCTTTTATGAGCTGTAAACTCTGTAAAAAGTGCAGAGTGCTATTTCACTTTTTTTAAGCATCTGCTTTGATTACAGGAACTTATAACACAAGATAGTCACATGCATTAAAATCGGACAGAAAAGTTGGGGGAAAAATAGAGAAAAGAACAAGAAACTTTCTGTTTCAATTACACTTTGCTCAAGGTCTCACAATCCCTGTGAGTATAAATCTGGAGTGATCTTGAAATAGAGAAGAACATTCTTTGCTGCATCTGAATAGAATGTAGCTCACGGAGCTCAATGCTACATTGTGCATGAACTATGGGTGATGGCTACCAAAACAGCTCCACTCCATCAACTGGGTGGAAAACTGAAGTTGAAAAGCATCTTGAGAACTTTTCCAAGAGTGGAGAAAGAGCTAATCAAATATCATGGTTAAGTGCTGAAATCATTGCACCAATCGGCCTCTGCTTAAACTTTGTCTTTCTCTTCACAGTCATTCGAGTGAAGTCCATGCGTACAATCATCAACATCTACTTATCCAATCTGGCTGTGGCTGACTCCCTCTACCTTATGACTTACTTCATATCTGCACTGTTTTCACCTATAGAGTACAACTTATTGGTCAAGAAGGCAATATTAAGTGTCCGATACACGTTCATCGCAACTTCTAATTTCTTTGTGGTTACCATAGCAGCTGAGAGATTCTCTGCAGTGTACAATCCTATAACGTTCAAAGAAAAAGCCTCTAAATCTCGAGCAGCAAAGATATCAGCAGGACTCTGGGTGCCAACAATTATTGTAGGTGTGATTCTGATTTTCTTACCATTAACAGACGCTGTCTTCGATGAAGTCAACCTTTGGATTCTTTCTATTATTTACATTGCCTCTTTGATAGCAACTCTTGCTTTGTACATCTATGTAGTATTGAAAGTACGCAAGCAATCAGCCCTGTTGCCGAACCGTCCAAAGCGAGCAGGCAAGGTCCTCTGCATGGTTATCATCAATACTGCTGTTTTCTTCATTCTGAACTCACTGTTCACTGCAGCTACAATTATGACAATTCATGTACTTGTAGTGGCATCAAAGTATACTTCATCTGCTCAAATTGTTGCCAATCTGGAACTTGGAGAGACAATACATATTCTGACTATATGCATTGTAATTTTGCAACTGATCAATAGCTCAATCAATTCCCTAGTCTACAGTGCCACTAACACTGAATTTCGTGAAGCTGTAGTCAAGGCTTTCTCATTCCTCAAACTGTGCTGTCGTTGCTGCCCAAGACGGAATCCCAGCCGACCATCGCAGCCAGGGAAGCAGATTAAGCTTCATGTGATTCCACGGGCAGCAAATGACCACAAGCACCGTGCTGCCAGGCCAAGCAGCAGCAAGCCACCAAGCCAAGGGCATGCACAACACACAGTGAGTCAGCAGCCACTGAACAGCTGTCAAGAACAATGTTCCAGGCCAAGCAGCAGCAAGGCATCCATGCACAGTCAGCAGCATGTTCAAGTGCATGTTGAGGTACATGCAGAACCAGCAGGGACCCCAGCGCTTGCAAGTTCTCATCAGGAACAATGCTCTAGTCTGACTGACTGCAAGCCATCCATGCAAGGGGAACAGTGTGTACATCCAGACCCAGCAGAGAGCCAGCAGTCACTTGCAAGTACTCAGGAACAATGTCCTGGGCTGACTGGCACCGAGCCATCAGCACAAGGGCAGCAGTATGCACATCCAGAACCAGAAGGGAGTCAATCGTTGGAAAGTTGTCCAAAACAATGTTCTCTGGTAACTGATGAGTGCAAGCCATCCATGTAAGGGCGCAGTCTGTAGAGTCAGCAGATACATCGTCATCAATCACTTGAAAGTAACTCTGATGAAACAATTTTCCATGCACAACAGCAGTGTGCATCAAAAACCAGCAGAGAGTCAATCTACGGTGGCCCTGGAACGACATTTTAATATTGACCTTTTTAATGTGAACCTTGTAACCTCTTAATATTGACATTGTACCTTCGCAATATGCACGTTGCACGTAGCTTAATATCGCATTTTGGAAGTTGTTCCTTCTTAATGTGAATGTTCCAACTTGTTAAAATTCACGTTCGATCTTGTCAATGTACACCATTGATCATGCTTGATGTCAACGTTGCACCTTGCTTCTTTGCAATATGAACCATGTACCTTCGCATTGTGAACGTTTGACCTTGCATCTTGTTAATATCATTGTTGAACCGTCCTCCTTCGCAATGTGAATCATGCATTCTAAAAAGTACGAAATGGGATTTTAAAGTTACTCAAGTAAGCATCGAAGTTGGAACATAATGTATGTACAAATAACTGTAATGAATTAGGGCCAAAGTAGTTTTAACGATGTCAAGGTGCAGGATTTTTGTTGTGTGAATTGTTGTTTTGAGTTAAAATGCCCATAAGGGAATTGTTACTCGAATGGGCTTAGGCCTACTGTGATGTCTTAAAAGAAAATGACATAATTTACAAAATATATTTCATGAAAGCAAATGCTAAAAACTCAGAATTTAACTTTGGCTAGATTTGAATCATGATTCCCCACGACCAGTGGCAAGATCTACAATTTGAAATGTCCACAAAGGCCGAATTACAATTTCAATAGCTAACAGCCCTGCAAGGAAAACTGTAGAAAGCATACTGATCCAGTAACCAACAAGATCATTTCCACTTCACTCAACTTCAGATTGCAATAATTGAATGTAATTAGTAAGTTCCCACTTATGCCTCCAAAGAAAACCATCGAAAATGATTTCAAAATGTACTTGTATAAAGTGTTTGTGTACCAGCAATATATTTTGTAATAACAAAAACTTTCAAAGGATTCTTTAAAAATGTACTGAAATTAAAGATTAAAAATATTTGAGTTCAAACTTGGAAGAACAAATCCTTGCTTGGAGAAATCTACAGCCACTGGTGGGTTTCAAGAACTAAGTACAGTGCATGAAAAATTATTTTAATAAAATTATTTTAATAAACTATTTTATATTCCTAAGATAACTGAGGACCATTTTTATTACAGAAATCTTCTTTGGCCCACCAAAATCCAAGCGAACAGTGGCAAAACATTTTACAATGCATACTAAATTCTACAAATTTACATGAAACGCAATAATGGCTGGCCGTACTATCCTTTATCCATCAAATTCAGTCAAAATTGGAATGGTGGATATTGGAAGATTTGAGAGAGTTTTAAGAGAAAGGAAAATAAAAAGTGATTAAAAAATTTACAAAAAAAGTTACTAAATTGCAAAAGTTGGTTGGTAGGCCAAGGATAGAGCCTCCTCACTGAGGACAGGTCTTTGTTCCTGTGTAACACATGAGCAGAAACTTTGTACTTGTACTTTCATTGTCACTGTGCAAAGGGTCTATTGTATGATACACTCAACCGAAAAACAAAGTCCCCCCTTAATACTTTTCGCGTAACTCAAAAACTACTTGTCACATCTTGCACAAACTGGCACAAATTACAACTGAACAGTACAGAAATTCCTTAGCAATCCAGCCATACTATTTGTTTGGCCCAAAACAGTGATAAGTATACAAAATTACGCCATTTTATGACAAATGGTAGTACCGAAAAAAGTTGTACTTTTGTATACATGCAAGGTGAATGTGAACAACAACTTGGTCGTATACAAAAGTGCAACTGTTTTCAGTATCATTTGTTATAAATTGCATAATTTCGTACACACAATCACTGTTTTGGGCCAAACAAAGAGTATGGCCGGATTGCTAAGGAATTTCTGTACTGATTAGTCGTTATTTGAGAGAGAGGTGCTCAGTAGTTTTTGAGTTACATGTAGACAAAAAAAAACTTTCTTTTTTGGTTGAGTGTAGGAGGCCCTGGAATGAAGTAGACCCCATGCATAGAGCGCCCTCACCGTTCAGGTCTTTGTTCCTGTGTAACACACGAGTAGAAACTTTGTACTGTCGAAGTACAAACCGTACATACGCACGCAGCCACGGTCAGCCACTGCCGGCCACTGCGGCTTGTAAAATGGTGATAGTGCAGCAGCTGAGTACAAAATATTTTGGTTGTCCCGGGATGTTGGACAGCAAAGTTTGCAATATTAAAAGTTCTTTATTGGACAACTGAAAATGAAATTTGGGCAACCAGATTTCAAGCACCCCTGCCTGAAGGGCAACTACATTTTTAAACATTTTGTGGGGCCTGACTGTACATGTACATGTAGGTCGGGTTACCCTATACACATCAATTTTTTTTTCAGCCTTAACAAATTTTGAAATTCTACATATCAGAAGTGTAGACTGCAATTTCACTTTCTTAATAGTAACTTGTGATAAATGCACAAAACCAAAACGAAAGGATTACACAATGCATTTGTAAGTTAAGCCTGTCGTGGAGAAAATAGCAAGTTAGAACCTGAAACAACAC